GCTCTTCCCCGAAGCAGCCAGCAAATGCACTCACTGCTGACGACAATGCTCGAGAACCCTACCCACGCACGTTCCGGGCGTTAACACCCCCCCGTTAACTCTCAACCCCGGCTCGAAGTCCCGACGTGAGCTCACGTCGAAGGTACGAACTCCTGCCTAGAGTAGTTAGAGAGCCCCGCCTGTTGCAGTATAATATAAAATACGACTTATGTCACATAACACTCGCATTAATTTCTCGTAAAATGCATGCCTTTCACCGAAGGCATGAATTTGACAAGAAAGAAATTAAATTGAGAGACTAAATGCCGAAAAATAAATCAAATTAAATCCATCGGCTTGCTTTGGCTCGCAATGATATAAAAGGGGAGAAAACAATTATACGCAATGATCCGAGCCTAGACCAAAAAACAGAGCACCGAGTAAATCAGCCCGAAGGACGGGCAGGCCCCATCGAGTGGCCCGGGGAGGGATGGAACCGGCCCGCAATAAATCGGGCCTCTCGCAATAAAGTCCGAACTCGACGAGCTTTGCTTCCCTGGCGGGCAACATTCAAGGCGCGGTAGTTTGAACGTCACCCGCAGCATCGCCCCAGGTTTTGAACCAACCCTTGACCGCATACGACTACTCGCGGTTAGGTTTAAATACGCGCGGATTCAATTGCGGATTCGGATTCGGGGTCGGGGTCGTGGTCGGGTTCGGGTTAGGTTACGAGGGTCAGAAACAGAGTGAAGTGGGCAGGGAGCTCAGTCTGGACCTGACCAGAGTTAACGAAACCCTGTGGCCCTGTAGCACTCCGTTACGGTCAGACTTGACTGGAAGCATACCGGTAATCGTGTCACCACAGTAATCATGGTGATAATGAAGACTTAATTTATGGAAACGACACTTTCCGGGAGCACATTCCATGATTGCTGCAGCGCGATTTATTCTTAAGAATTCCCGAGATGGATCCTTCGCACTTCGATTGCCAAATCGCGAACCTGAGATCAGCAGATCGCGTCGATCGCTTCTTCACAAAACGCCGAGTTCTGCCTACCGCTGCGTGGCAATAATGTCCACCGCCGCGGCCGGCGTTCGTCTTCTTGCCAGGCCGGGCAAGGGCCGTCCATGACGTGACCCGAGCTCCGGCTCGGGCCATCTGCACCCGCGATCCGACGGCCCTGCGAGCGTTCGGGGCGCCTTCGAATTCTCCGGCGGATAGCGCTCGCGTCTCGGGGTTCAGTTCATAAACGAACTTCGTTCTCCGACGGACGGTGGCTCGGACGACGGAAGTGAGCTTCCCGAGTACAGTACGAGGTACGCCTCGGGGGACTCGGGACGTCTTGACGTACCAACTGTGCACACTCTTCGTACGCGGTAGGAAAAGTCGCGGTTCGGCTCTCACCTGTCGCTCCAGCGCCTTCGCCGGTGGACGATCTTCTTCGGGTTGACCTGCGGCCGTTCGGTGCGAGATGCAATGCAGAATCATGAGACGATCTCTTCTCGGGCTGAGGGTCGGACGGTGCCCTCTCGCCCCTAGGCCTTCGCACGGGCGTCCATAGGCCTCTGAATATTGTATCGTTTCATGTCTCCTGTGCTTTCGTGCGCTTCCACTTCTTTCAGTTTCCATTTTCTTTACTCTTATGCATCCGTTCATACAATGATTATTCGACACTTAAAGCTCAAGTCGATTAAATCTAATAATAATAATAATAATCTTCTTCTTCTAGGGAGAGCGCCTGAAAATCTTCGTCTCAATTCAAAGATCTGAACTTTAGTAGCCAGACGTCTTAGAAAATCGGATTCTTGTTCGAGCAACTCAGAAGTGGACACTTAACTAGAGGACGGTATTTTTGTTGGCTCAATATTCCGAGATCTTCAATGCGTCGAAACCGTCATTTGTTTGAAGAACATTTGAAAAACTTATAAGGGCACTGCCCAGGCATTATTCTTTAAATCAGATTGCCAATACTTAGGGATCACATCTATGCCCTATGGCAGCGTTTAGATCATCCCTCCCTTCAAACAATTGTTCTCGAGTATTTCCCTACCATCGAAGTTGATCCTGTTCAAAAATCTGATCAACGCACTTTGTGATCACTTGTTTGTTTCGTAGCATTCTATTCAGGGTCTTGTAGAGACTTACGGCGTTGCGTTGGTCACAGTCCATTCTCTTTATGTTAGTCTCATGTGCGTCGGGTACTTGATTGTTTGACGCCTTAGCCTACGGGCTGCAGAGTCTAGTCATACGAGAACGGCGGATTCCGCCTCGTTCTAATCGTATTGCAAATTGTATGTCGACATTATACATCGTACTAACCTCAAATCGGACACAACTTCTGGACCTGAGATTCGGCAAGTTTTTTCGCAGATCCTCTGAGAAGATTCCCTCATGGGGCACTGTAAAGAAAAGAAACGGCCGATCGTGCTCTACATTGGAGTACGGTGAGGTACGATGCTGAAGCCAAGTAATGGTACAGCTCAAACTGTTGGCCCTCGTTGTTTTCAGTTTCATCGATGAGTTTGTGACCACTGACGACTTGGACCTCTTGTCTTCAAAGTTCGTTTACAGCTTGGCAAGTCTGAAGGACGATTAGATCTGACTTGCAGTACTGTACTGTACTGTACTTGCTCATATGCCAATCAGTCCCATGCTTACGATCTGGGTTTGCCAATCTCACCCCACCTCCTTCGCCTCAGTCGTTGCTACGATCCAGTACGCCTTACGTCGCCATGAAAATGGGAATGGCTGGCTAGCATCAGAAAACTAGTTTGTGAAGTTCCTATTATTTAGCATTCTACGGACCATCTACGTTCCTGTGATACAAGTTGATGATTTTCATCGACATTTTTTCTTAAATAGCATACAACATGAATAAATAAGCAATCGCATCTTGAGGAAATTTGTAAGCATAAACAAGTGGACGACTTGTTTATTGTTTCGATAGAAGTTCTTCTGTAATCGTACACAATCGTCGAAATCCAATTTGAGGTTTTCAGCGAACCCAGAATTTAGAAGGAAGTAAATTCTCACATTCAAAAAACATCGCTAATCAGCTACATTACAGTACATGTTGAGAACTTGTACGATTGGGTAGTATATTCAAATTTCCTTGCTTTTTACTTTGAATGTTATGAATGTACACTGACGTCCGATGACCAAGTAACACGAAAATTTTCTTAGAACTAGAGATATTTTTCAGCATTTTTTATGCATGAGTTATTGGTCCATACTCATTTTTGACCGCTTGATATATATAAAAAATATTTCATCTACATTAACTAATTAAAATGTAAAAGTTCGAAGTCACTCCTTACAACGCGTAATCTTAACTGGGGATCTTTCCGCCCTTTCTTGTTATCTACCTTGCCCCGCTTCGACTTGATACTAGCTAAACAAATTCAATTCATATACGATTATTTTCACAATCCAGGTTTATTAGAAATATTAATATAAGAAAATATTATATACAGTAATGTCTCTATCGTATATATTTTAAATAATTTAATATAAAATTCTTATTACTTCTTCTGGATTTTTAATCATTTATGCCATTTACACTCAATATCTTATAAATCCAATATTTTTTTGACACTACAATATCAGTTCCTTTCAAAGAAAAAAAGATGATGAGTTAGCGTGCTAAGTCATCGTATAGTTGTATCTCATCTGCATAAACTATTATTCTATTGAGAAATTTGTCACAATTCTACGTATTCTAAGTTACCGAATTCTAGTAGTGATAAATTGTTGACATGTCATTGGTTACGTGAAATGTGCAATATACATGTATATGTCAAAAAATACTTTGGATAAGGATAGATATGTCATGCAGTTGTTAGAATACGTCCTGGCATCATCTAAGCCATGCGTGCATAACTTTATCTTTTGAAAAAAGTTTAAGTTGAATAAAAATTGAGGGAGTGTTACGAGAAATTATTTTGGAAAAACAGTAATCATACATATATATATATATATATATACCCCTAACAACACGAAAAGGATTTGCTTGTTGAATTTTTTTTGACCCCACTTGTGACTTACCTATTACAGTTTAATTCTAATTTCTGGGCAGGTTTCTACTCCTTTGATGGTTTTGAACTAGGTTTAGAATGTAGCGTAGGAAATCATAGGAAATCATAGCTCATCAAAAGCACCCCCTGCTGAGAGTTACCCAATGTACAATTTAGTATCCGTTTGTCTTACATATAAGACTGCACTTGGAGTTCATGCGCGAACCGTTTATTCAGTTGAGTGGTAATGACCGAACAGTACGAACGAATGTTAGCGGCATGCGCACCAACAGTGAGCGGAAGCGAGGTTTGGGGCAATCCTGTGTGCAATTATTTTCTCTTCATTTTGGTTGTAATAATGCCAGGTGGACCCCAACAGCAGGAATGTATATTAAAATACGCCCGCCGTGCCAACGTTGGAGAGACTTTGGTTTGTAGATATATCTGCGGAGCCCTTTTCTAAACGATGAAGTGAAACACAACCTTAAAGTCATTGGACGATTCGATGATATCTCCCAAGTCAATGTATGATGTAGAATAACAAAAGCACCATAACTCCTTAGTATGTGTATGAAACCATGCGGTTAAGTAACCCCTGTGACATCCAAACCTGATTGATGTACACTACAGATATTCAATTTGTCTTCGTAATCGCTCCATATAAAACTGGGGAACCCGAATAGGCATCATTTAATGCTATCATTTCATATCTGTCTCAAGGATTATTATTATATTTATTTCTATATTATTTGAATATGTATACTAATTTTATTATAATTATGTCTTTTTACTTCAAAAATCTAGTAAAATTCATGATAAACACATCAAAATATCATGAATTTCGAACATCTATTTTTATATATCTTTGTGATTCCCCGCAAATGATACACACCCAGTCAAAGATATATCAATTGTAACATATTGTTGTATTAAATCCGCGTGTGTGAGATTTACATTTTAGATATCATATCTCCTATAGATCAAACGATAACAATATATTATTTCATATTTTCCAATTAAAAGTGTATTTCCATACACTTTTAATACACAGTTCTTACAACATTTGATTCCTTGGGATAACCGGGGAAATCGTGATCACACCCCCACACAGAAAAGTTACCGGATCATAAAGTTGCACATTGACGCTGGGGTTCCTGAACCGCACTATAGTCCAGGAATTGATGGATCAACCTGAACAGTGATGGGAAAACCGCGGGGGGAACGAACCTGATTACGATGTCCGAGTCTCACTCAGAGGCCTCTCAGGTCATGCGGCAAAGGGGAGCGACCGACCAGTGAACCACTCTCTGCGGATGGAAATGGAAACGGGTACAGCGGTGGAGGGGGACGAGAGGCCGGGTTTTGGAGTTTGTGGAGTGTGAGCTGATGGTTATCTGTCTACTACTTCGGAGGAGGCGCAAAAGTGGATAATGAAGGGGCGGGGGGCACCGAAGGCAATGACATTGGTTTGTGGCTTCAGATGGAAGGCGAGTTGCCATTGGCCGATCGGTCGGTCGGTCGGTCGGTCAAGCTGTGCGGTGGATGGTGGATTGCACGAGAGTCAACTTCGGCATGGTTTGTCGAAGCGTTTGCTTGCCGCAGCAAGCACCATAGCAGCTCCATGTTTGCGTCGTGGAAGAAAAGCGAGGCAGGCCCCACCCGTGCGACTTCGCCTTCCCCCATTCCCCCATTCCCCCATTCCCCGAGCCTTGTGCGCTTCCGTCCCTCGCAAGGGAGATCCAAACCAAGCTTGAGCGAACTGGGAGAGAGATGCAGTTCGCTCAAGCTTTTCAGAATTCCTGTGCATGCAATTCCTTTTCAGAATGTGTCCGGGGGTTTCTTCTCTTGCTTTGCTTCCATTATTGGCCAACACCTTCAGGCTCTCCTTCCCTAGATTTCCACTTTCCAACAGGTTAATGTCACTCTGCCTTCTGGTGCGAAGGATGCAGCACTGCACTGCATCGCATCGTATTTTCCTACCGGTGGTCTACAATCTCGTGACTTCGCCCGCTGGACCTGAGAACACAGGTCCGAGTAGAATACATGCGGTCAGTCGCTCGCTCTGTGTAACGCGAATGTCAGCACGAAAGTGATTTAGAACTCGTCCGGTCGCGTCGGAATACCGTAAAGACGACGAGAATTTCTTCTTCAGCAAGTCCACAGAGTTACAAGCAAGACTCAGGAACATGGGTCTCTCCCGTAATCGTCCATGCAATGCAATGCACACACTGTAGGGTTTTGTCCCTCGGTTCAGGCTCGCTCACATTTCGGTTATCAGTTGGTTGCCAGAGAGTCCAGATCCACAAGTTCCGACACCCGAACATGGCTCGAAGGATTGAACGCTTTCGTCTGCATCCACTGGGTGGGGCCCGAAGCTGCTCTCTCCCTCTCTCTCTCCCTCCCTCCCTCCCTCGCTTGATTTCTTGCTTGGTTGCTTTCTTGCTGCATGAATGTGTCAAGGCATTGTGCGTGTCTGACCGTGAGGTAATCGGATTGAAAATGCCTCGAATCGCAAACATAGGGTTTGTGGTTGTTGGGCTACTTTCAAGAGCAGCACAAGCAGCAGAAGCAGAAGCAGCAGTTGCTCTGATTCTAAGCGAGTGTGGGCCAGGCGGGGGACTATCTGACCGCAGCAACCCCTCAAGGACAAGCCGGCAGTTCTGAGTCTCCCTGACTTCGGTCCTACTCTCGCCTTTGTCTGCCAGCCTACCCAAACCTAAAGATTGCACAAGATTGGTACAGATCGTGCTGAATCAGTTACTCTACCTCATGTAGATCTTCTTTTTGGTCGCTTGCTCCGTCTGTGGGGCCACGGCCTCGGTTCAGTGTGAATATTGTATACTGCAGTCCAAACCCCCAACGACCCGGATGCAGTTGCTGTTGCTGCTGCTGCTTCTGCTTCTGCTTCTTCTTCTTTTTGCCTTCTCTGATGCTGTTGCTGCACAAACTGCTTCGATGCAAGGACCCAAGTGTTGGCCCCACAGTTTCAATCCTCCTTTTGACATCCGAGTCGTCGGAGGCCTCCTCGCACTGTCACGACATCGGGATGTAGACATCTTTGGGGTTAAGACTGTCGATGGTTTTCAAACCTTCAAAAGCAGTCCCATTATTGTGGAACCAGAATCTACAGAGCGCTCGCTCGCTGGAGGACAAATAATCGTCTGCGGCAGGGGCAGCCCAGGTGGGAAAATAATGGCCGGCTTGGCTTCAGGATTTGAAAGCACACCGAGGCTCAGATAAAGGTTACAACAGGGGCACGAAATCGCCTCAAAAGCAGGTACATTATGATGAGGGCAGCATTACTTCTGCGCATTGGAGTTGGTCTGAACCGAGGCGTGCTCTACAAACCCCAAACAAATTAAAAGTTGCACAATAATGAGGAAGGAATATGCAGGCGAGGTGGACGACTGAAAGGGGAGGGGCGGGCCTGGACTCCGCTCCTCGCAAGCCCCGAAAAGTCTTGACACCATCATCATCATGCGATCAGAATATGAATCCCACTGCAGCACAGGATGGACGAAAAGCATGAGAACAACTTTTCTGTTCTGCAGATAACACTCGAGGAAATTTTGGCTAAGGTCCGAAGAAAGGCTATTGTCCGTTTACTAGTTTATTGTGTCCCATAATTCAACCACAGGATCGGATTCGGCTCATGATGTTTCAATCGCTCCGTCTAGATAGATCTCGTTGTGATTTGGTGCTCTTGCTCGTGGACCTCGGCCACGGACAGTGAAATACAGTAGCCTCGCTCCTCCAGAACACAAACAAATGCCTGCAATAATTCCTCCCCTCCCCCAAAAAGTCCTCCCCCTACGTGGAGGATTTTTCCTCCCCGAACTCCTCGCTCGGTCCCACCTCGTTCCGAAATAGTCCTCGTCTGAGAAAACTCCCTGTTCCCCGCCATCTCTGGCCCTGGGCAGTCCCACCGGTTTGGAATCCCCGGTCCCCGAGCCCTGTGCCCTCCCTCTATCCTCAATCCTCAATCCTCCATCCTCCATCCTCCATCCTCCATCCTCAATGCTCACCGAAGAAGATCTCCAACAGTTGTGTCTCAGAAGGGGATTTCCCTCGGTCTGGGGTCGGTCTCACATTCTCAAACCTTGTCCGTCCGCAAGAGAAGAGATCCGAAGCGAAGGTCAGCCACAGCAGCAGCAGCAGCAGGAGTTGCGATCACAGTGATGAAGGCAAGGGAAGTGAAGGGCAGGGCAGAGAAAAGGAGATGGTTGGACTCGAGAGGCAGGCAGGTCCCACCTCTCACCGGAGATGAGATGAGATGAGAGGAGATGAGATAATGGCGTGGAATTAGAATGAGGGAGGATAAGCTTGGGCGTGTGGGAGGAGTTCGTACCCCAGGTTAGCTTGTTGGCAGTTCACATAATTCGATGGGAATGAAAAATTTTGTGGGCCATCTCTTGTCTGGAGAAATACGTAAGGGGCTAGCTTAGATGTAGAGGGGCAGATTTGCCCTCGCTTCGAGAGAATTCCACACTCCTGCCCGCTCTGGTTCGGACACCGGCTCGCTGCAGATTGCTGCGACTCGGTGCAAGCAAGCAAGGAAGGCCCTGAGATTTATGCCGAAGATCGAGAACTCTCGTCGTGGTCCTGCTTTTGAAGTGTGTGTGTCACCGGCCTTTGGTTGGTTCATGATGATGGGAGTCATGGGAGCCACCCTCAGCTCCATCAGCATCTCCAGGACCTTCTCGTCATCTTCACATGTACTATATCTTCGGGGTAGATTTCCTCGCTTACATAATTATAACCCTCCAGTATGCTGCGCCCAGCTCTGTCGAAAGTAGCCGACGACGACGACGATGGTAATGGTAATGGTGATGATGATGAAGGAGTGGAGGTGGAGGTGGAGGCAGCGAAGATCTAATCTTTCTTCCCAACTACAAGGATCGAAAGGATGAGAGGAGACTTTTTTTTAAATTCCAATGATGCGATAGTTTGTGACGATCGGTGCTCGAAAACGGCCCTCCCTGTCGGCTCTGCCGGACCAGTACACTTCCTCGTGCCACCTTTCGATCGATTTATCGATTTGCCAGTTCGGAAATCCAGCAGATTTTTTCTCCCACGGCCAGCAGCACCGACGGTGGACTTGGAGTGTTCCATGAGCAAGACGTGCGACACGATATGTCATCGAGACCGACCGGAGACCGGAGAGAGATGGTGCCCCCCCTTTTATGAACACTTGGGGCCAGGGCATGCAGGCACTGATGATCATCAGTGATGTCCGTCCCATGGGGAATTTCCTTCTTCTCGAGTAGGCTACCGAACGCAGCAGTCGGATTAAAATAATGGGCAAAATTCACATTGATTGATTGCACTACGATGCACCTGCTGTTCCACGGGAAGCTATGGCCCCGAGCCCTCGAAATTTAGCTTTACGCGCCTACAAGTGACCTCGCTGCTCGTTTCCTTCCATCGTCTTCATGTTCCAAAGTAGGCCTGCTTTAAGATCTAGCAGAATCTCATGACCAAATATTTGCAGAATCTCCTTTCCGCTTTTTGGTGACAATTTCACGCTCCCTCTCTCTCTCTCTCTCTGCCTTGCCATCGCTGCATTCATTGGAGCTGATGCTGCTTCATGGTAGCCTACTTCAAGACTTGTAGGGCATGTTGACATGATCCCATCGAACATGATCATTATTACTCTGGATTTTTGTTATCAACGACCCTACTGCTAAAAGATCTGGCTGCTGCTGTTGCTGCCCCATGACTCTATCTAGCTTCCAAATGCAGAACGTGATGTCGATGACTTTGCTGATCGCCTTTTTCGTTCATTCATGTGTAGCTTTCTTCGCACTCAGCTCGATTTCATTCCACCCTCCTCTTTCATTTCATTTTCCTCCCCATCCCGTCCTTTTTGCAAAGCTTCATCCATGAAACCTTATCAACTTTATGGAAGCTACTTCGAAACCATAATGATATTCTTAAAGAGATATGTTATCACACCTTGTTCATACGAAAAATAAATCATACACCGGCGTCTACTCTCTCCACGAGAAAAGGACACCATAATCTCTATCAGTGGTGGAGTGGAGTTCATACCCTGTAAATTTGCCAAACTTTTTTGGGGGCTACCTAGGTAGTATAGCAAAAAGGTAACTAATATATTTCATGAAGAAGTATATAAGAGAATAAACATTGGGCTAGACCTCATGTGGGATTGTATATGTAAGTAAAATATCTAATTTATCTAATTCAAATTACCTGCAAATTAAGTGAGCATCCCAGGTCTCATTACATATCGAAAGTGTTCTCATGTATACAATGGACCGACTAGTTTTTATGTAAAGAGACTTATCCATGTTCTTTAAAAGTGACACTTCATGTTGCATGGTTTAGAATTTTTACACTTTCTATCAAGAACTACTCACAGTCCACAACCATAACCCCAAGCTAGGTAACGATGATATGTACATGTCTCAGATTTACCGTAGTTGATCTTAACATCGAAAGACTATCGAACTACAGCGAGGACTGATACAATACATAGGCTTTACAAAAAAAATTACTGTAAGCATCATGTACTCTAGACAGGTGAGTTTTGTTTGAAGAGGATCATGAAGGTCTTGACACAAGTTTCTTCTTGATTGTTTTTTTGTTGTTGACATTGTTCCAAAGTCTCTCACTTGACCTTACCGAACGTTGCTCCTTCTTATGCTTCGATGGACTTCGTCCCCTGCGTAAGGTCCACCTTGTTGATCGAGAGGATAGTTGTGCTCGACAGCCATTGGGACGCTGTTTGATATAATTCCTTTGTCAACAATCGAGCATGAACTCTGTTAGAAAGACATTATGTCCCGAGGTCTAGATTTGTGCTACCCTGACTTCTAAAACCTTTCGCTTGCAACTTCAACTCGTTATGAAAACCTTTGGAGCCCTTCAAAGTACTTGCTCGTTGCTCCGAAGTCAAAAGTTAGATATGATAAAGCTGTATGAGCTGTTTGATCACGAAACCGAGAATAATAACACGAATAACTGTCACACATAGCTCAGTCTGAACTCTCAGTGGGAAATTATTTTAATGTTTGACACCGAAGATTGGAGCTTTGCGTGACTCGTTCAATCCAACCATAAAGTCAAGCCATTCCACTTTTTGGAGTGCATCACCTTTATCAAACTTGAAGATCTGATCTCCTCGCACCAGCACGGTCATCCCATGCCAACACTACGGGAATGTAGAATACTGGCATTCCTAGTGACTTCGGGGTTTGAAACACCTACAAACTTCTACAAATTTGTCTTATATTTAGAGAATCTGAACAATGTTATATCCATGCTTCTTGCGTAGGTATAAGTATAAAAAACCGCCACTGAGAGGATCAGGTTTTTGTATTCAGCCTTTTCATCCATCTACCGCCCATCTACCTTTCAGAAAAGATTGATTCTTCCAAAGCTCTGGAGCTTATAAGCACTTTCTCAAAACCTTGCAGAAGAAGAAAACACAAACAAGGAAACAGGAGACCGCATCATGAGACATGAGAGCCTCACAAGCTTCAGGGGGTCAAAGAAGGAAAGGAAAGGAAAGGAAAATAAAATTCAGAATTTGGGGCCAGGTTTTTATCCCTTATCATGAATTCATCAGATTTGGACCGGAAGCATCCTGCAGCTTGCTAAATATATCTCCTGCTCGCAGGTGCTGCGAAGGGTCCTTTCCTCTTTCAAGAAAAAGACTCTTCTTCCCCCTCCCTCCCTCGAGTCACTCACTCACTCACTTCACTTGTCTGCTGGCATCGAGGAGGAGGGCCCTCCCTCGGGGGGAACCAGTTTCAGTTTGTCTCAGTCGTCCCAAATCGGCAACATACACAGAAGTTATGTGCAGCCGTCCTCTATTTATGGAAAGCTTCCATGAGCACACATACTGCAGATGGCGATATCTGAGCCATAGCCACGGTTCGGTACAGTCGGTCGTAGATGAAGCAACTGCGTAGCTGGGTGGCGGCTTTATGTGGGCCATTCGGTAATCGAGAGAGAGGTTTTGAAGGATCGAGGAATCTTGTCACAGGCCAACGATTTTCACCGACATGCTAGAGTGGCACAGTTTGGACAAGGATCGGACCTTGATTTTATCCCAAATGAACTCGGGTGCCGTGCGGCCGGTATTCGGGCCTGGACTCATGGACAGGATTTATGGATATTTTTTAATCACTTCTCAAACGACAAATTTATCGTTCCTATAACAACACAATATGATGCTTTTTATGATTTCTGAGATGGCAACCCTAGTTTAGATAGATGAGTGGAAGATAGATCATTGAACTTCAAGAGTAGGTTAGGCTCGGCACTGCAGGTTCTAATGCTCTAGGTTTGGATGGACGTGACTAGGAGTATATTCATTAATTAGTGACTCTTGTATAATGAATGTTGATTGATATGATAGCAGATACAATTAGGGGATAACTTAGACCTGGGTTGACTCAGTTTACATTCACTATTGATAACTTGCGCTATACAAGAGAGCTTGCTTAAACAATCTAACACACAATTTGGACTGTCAATGAAATGATTTTGTGTTACCACGTATGTAACCTTGCTGAGATGAACCACTTTTTTTTTATCTACTTTATCAAGAAAACGTTAGTCATTGTGTATTCCCACAACCAATTTATTGAGTTTTATGGTTGATAGAAAATTAGGAAAATTTAGAGAAAATAGATATAAGCTTGGATACACACTCCTAAAAAATGTCAGAGGAAGTTGAATGTTGGGAAAATTTTCTGAAATGACTATAATATGAAGCATATTGTGGACATCATTCATCTAAAATCTACCTAGAGAGTATGAGATTTGAATACTGGAATAAATGATGATGAAAACTGCAATCGTATATTCATCATGATCAATGCGCTGATGTTGAGAATGTAACGACTAACAATATGTGTTTTTGTGATTTAATATGTATTTTTATAGAATAATAAGTATCATTTTTTCATGAAAAAATTGTGAGAAAAAAACTTGTCACAGATTTATATTACTATCTTCTGGTATGTATGTGATTTAAATTTCTACAAAATAGAAAAATAAATTTAAAACGACTTTAAAATTCAAATACAAAATAAAAAAATTCATGAAAATTGCAAAAGAAAAATTTAAACAAAATGTATTTAATTTTTAAATTTAATTTTTAAAATATTTCTAATGCGTTTATGAATGATATGACTTTACAATTGACTTTGAATTTGGATCAACAAGATGTGAGCAATTTTGCATACATGATTGAAAATTTCAATCCAAAATTCCAATTGGCAAAAGTTGCCATGACAATACTTTAAAGAGAATGAGCACTTTGAGTGTGAAGGGCGATGGAAGAGGTAGTGGTAGAGTATCATTCGCTAGACAAGTGTTAGCACATGAGACTTATAATGAAGTGGACATGACGTCTCCATCGGAGCAGCTGAAGTAGATCATACACTGTTTTGCTCGAATCCAACAAATGGTGGAATGCTGTCAACCTCCTGAAGGTCTCAACAACTACTTTAGATCACACTCTCCATTTCATTATGATTTCTTACAACGGAAGACTTGGCGAAATCGAGTATTCGATTGAGGCCTACACGATAACCTGAACATGGTCACACTAACTGGTTCTTAGTTCTTAGTCTCACAAACATGTCAAAATCTGAACCCATGCTTCCATGAAGAGCGACGATCACTCCCTTTGTGCAGGATAGATAAACATGTTACTTCTCAACCAGAAATATTTTCCAGATTGTAAGTCACACATTCAAGTGTGTTATGCTTTCTAATCATTTCACGGATGAGCTCGACCAACGGAGATATTGCACAGCGAAGGATGCAGCTCTGGGAGAGATTGGTTTCATGCATGCTCATTCCACAGAATGGCACAAAGCCGCTCCTTCACATGGAGTCGAAATGCATTTCTATTTCTAAAATTGCACATGTCAGAGTCACTTCGGTGTGGATCTGCCTACTTTGGCCAGTCCTGTGGACCAATGAAGCCATCGAAGGTAATTCATGCATTGATTGGACGGAAGATCGTTTTGTTACGGGCTGCGTGTTTGTTCAGGTCCCTACACCAACATTTTTATCCCTCAAGGATAAAAATTGAGACCGTAGGAGAGTTGGCGAGACAGATCTCATGAGTAAGCCTCTGTGTTCTTGTCGGCTCGATCGCCGAGACCGTCGTTATGAGACTGCAAGACCTTTTGCATTTCTGTCTTCACGCTATGTCCTGACGGTGCCAGAGACAATCAGCACCACGGGTCGAAAGCGGAACAAGTCCGGCCTCGTTGCTCTGACAAGCAATTCCTACATCGTTTCGGAAGCAGTAAGAAATCGATCCTGCTCGTGGGTCCGAATTCTCTAGAAATTGGACACTTGAATCCACACCGGTGAGTGTCGTTCGTTCGTGTGTGTGCAAGGGAAGCACGGTTGCATCACACGGCCAGCCAGTAGTCTCGAAAACGATAGAGCTGCGTAGGAATCGTACCGAAGCACCACGTAGCGAAAGGGATGATAACATGTGCAGAATCTGCAGGCGGATCGTGTAGTGTAGACCGATAGGTGGCTGACTGGTTTCAACATGCAAGAGGCATGGAGTGAGTGCAAGTAATGCTCTATATCACGACACTGCGTAGCACTCTATGCTGCCTGTCTCTTCGACGGGCGGGGCTACGTTTTCCTCGAGCCACGTTTGACTTTTGTCTCCGGATGCTTTGAAGAAAATGCCCTCTAGCATTACAGATAATTGCCGTGTGTTCGAGACTTTGGGATCCCCTGCAAGAGGAGAGATGGGAGACAGTGAGGCAATCGGTGGAATTAGTTTACAAAGAGGAGGAGGAGGAGGAGGAGGACGCTGATTATTGTCTTCATCGCCGAGGCAGGAGGAGAAGATCGGAGTCCACGGAAGAAAAAGGAAGATCGCTCGTGGATTTGCGACCGTCCAGATAGAGAGCGCGTGCAACCGCGAGAGAAAGCATGAGCACGAGGGACGGCGAGAGCGAGAGCATGCGGGTGCCACAGCGCACAGAGGCGAGGTGTCGGGCTTGGTCCGATCGCCGATTCGCTCTGCAGCGCATCGAGCAAGCGCAGGCCGGCATTTGGAGCAAGCCAAGGATCGATCGAGCGCCATCGTGGGCCACGCGCCGCTCGCGGGCATTTTTCGTCGCCCCTGCGCCCATCGTCGTGTTCCACGCACTAGGCTCTAGGCCCTGCCTGCCATCTGAGCCATGGCGCCATCGAGCCATGGATCGAGTGCATGGAGTCTCGACGCAGTCAGAGCCCATGCAGCCCCTCGAGCGCCTGCTGCCATCGGGACCCAATCCCGAGCGGTTCGAACCAGCCCGGCCTCATGAACCAGGGTCAGAGTCAGGGTCAGGGTCAGGGTCAACCGCCCGGCGGTCGACGCCATGCATCGATTTCAGGTGTCCTTTCCGCCGGCTTCCTCCTCCTCCTGTCGCTGCCGGCCAACCGGCCAGGGGGACGAGCGACCGAGTATGGCATGCGTTCGAGGGCATGTCGGTCGTAGATCTGAAACGCTCGCAGGGCTTCAACCTTCACGTGCAGGCATCGATCGATCGTCCTTTCCTCGTCTCCTCGAAAAGTCGATCTATCTTAATGTGAGAACTCGGTGAGCTGAACCACATGCAGCAAAGCTCTCTCTGTGTTTTCTAACTTTTCCTTTTATTCTGAGAGTATTAATTCACTCGCTCGATCGTTGAGTTGAATGACTGCTGTAAGTTCCGCTCTGCAGCGCTTTCAGCTCTCGTCACCTCGATTCAACAATTTTCTGGAGTCATGACTTTAATCTTGTCTCTCCTCTCTCGAGGCTGGACTCGCGTTGCCAAATGACTTTGTTGAGATTCATGACCGACCGAGTGTAGAAGGTCGAAGACTCATGCATCACTAATCTCTTAAATCTTAGGACCCGATGGCATGTGCTCCGCTTACGTGCCAACTGTAGCCTCGGTTTGCAGTGCTCGTGTGCATCCGTCCTTACATTGAGCCGTCGGAGTGCCGACGACATTCGCAAGAGCATAATGCAACCTGAGGTGCTGAATTAATCTTGCCACGAATCCTTGTGCATCAGAGGATACAAATTATCATTACATGATAATTTGATATGATACGTTTCGTATCAGCCAGTTCGTACGTTTTTTCGAGGACTGATCGAGTCGCGAAACATGAGCAGAGTAGGCGTGGTACCATCCTCACTCACTCACTCACTCACTCACTCACTCGACGAACCAGGTATGGCTTTTCCCTCTCTGGATGTCACTCGAGACTTGGTGGTGACAAACTCACTCGGCCGTCAAAGCAAACCAGATCCCAACCAACAATTCCGACGCTCTTTCGACTTGTCCGCGTAAATTGTGAGAAATTCGAACTTCAGACAATGGCTTCGGGTTCCTTTCCGACCCTCAGGAAGGAAGGAAGGAAGGAAGGAAGGAAGGCGTGAAGGTCGAAGGTGGAAGGTTGCAGATTGCAGGTTGACCCTTCGCAAGCCTCGTCCTTCGCTAGTTAGTAAGGAGTCCACGAGACGCAAGGTCACTCTTCTGTTTGGACATGCCGGCAGCGTGCAGGTAAACTCTTCATGGGACTCTCGCCCATTCCAAAAGTCGACCTCGAAGCACCGTTCGTACATGCGTGACCGCTCACGCGAATCATCGGACTCATGACCAACTATGGATCTGTTGGAGGCAGATCCGTCTTCTCAGTTGCAGAATAAAATCCGACACCGAGTGATCTCGTGTGCTCTCTCGTGCCAGAGATCAGAGTGCAAAGGTCTGTACGTTCGCGTCCGAGGGTGTCCACGAGGAGCACTCACACAATCCTTCCAAAACTTGCTCATCTTTGGACTCCGTGTGAGCGAGGGCGAAGCCTGAGAGCGGTCGGACATTTTGAGCCTGAGCATTTTCAGACAGTTCTCGACGAGGATGGTAAAGGTTGAACCGTCTTCTGAGTGTCTTCTGCGGAGCTTCATCACCTGACGAGTTAAGTGTACGAGTTTGAGAACTGAATAGTTTACTGGGCCTTCTGGCCGAGTGACGAATAAGAACTGAATTCGATGGATTCCGATTCAGACTGCATACTTGTGCACACGCGTTTGGCAAGAAGTCGTGAGGTGTGCACGAGAGCCATGCAGCAACCTTTGATTGCCTTTCCTCACAAGAGTACTCATGGGCTACAACATACAGACACGACCGTAGTCTCGTATGACCGCCGCTAGCGTTTGAGTCTGCTATCCATCTCCATCATCTGCCAATGATGGACAGTACAAGCGAGGCCAGGGAAAAACCAAAGCTTCCTCCCATAGAACCATGCAGCGGTTGCTTACCATCCAGGGCCTCCCTAACAGAATCCAGATCCGGGGATTATACAGCTCGAAGGTCATGGGCAGAGTCGAGGCATGGGTGAACACGAGTTCCCAACGAGAGGCAACGGTGATGTTCTAACCTCAAGCTCTGGAAAAGGATTGTGGTGCTTGAGGTTAGTCACGGATGGCAGATGGATGGCGGCGAGCATGTACATTAAGTATCGAATACTCCAATTTGCGATTCGTAGATGGACACACAGGCAGACACTCGAAGCATATATATAGATAGAGTGTCTGTCTTTCGTCATCTCAGCTCACCTCAGCTGCATTGGGCCAAACATTGCAGACTACGAGAAGCATTCATAAAAAGGTGAGATCTGCTGGGGATGCACCAACTTCCAATCATTGTCATCAACCCACAGGTGACTATTTATAAAAAACGAACTGTTTGTAACTAACAGATCTTATCACGTAAACGTTCGGTATTGCATCTGCGATATGGACTCGTCCCACCCCAATCACTGCTACTTCCTTTAAGGCGACGTCTTCCTCCCCATGAACTCCTTAATGATCACATGTGGTGGAACGGTGGAGCAGGTCCGAGCCCGGACGGAATTGGAAGGACGGACGGGCCGAGCGAGCGAGCCAACTGAGGACTTCACAAGGACTCAGCCATGACAGTGACCTGTACTCTTCTTCCTTCTTACTGGCTTTACAGAATTCTGTCGTCTCTGGGCTTTGGGCAGTGAAACTTGGTCAGCTCTCTCTCTCTCTCTCTCTCTCTCTCTCTTCCCCCTTCCTCATCCGACGAGGCATGACGAGGGTATTGTACTATGAGAGACTGTGATCTTTACGAGATCCTCGAGGTTAGCGAATGTGAGCGGTGGTGACAGCGGTGGCATCACAGTGAGCTGCGGCTGCGATGTGACTTAGATTCCCTCGCTACGGTGCTAGTCCATGACACCGTCTAGTACTTGAGAGCATGCGTTTTCGTCGCAGCCAAGAGCCTGAGAGTTCGCAACACGTAGAGTCGGACATAGGTGTGCACGAACGAGCTTAATCTTGGGATCGATCGTTCGGAGATTCAGAGTGTCGACACCGGCACTGCTGATCCCTTTGTACTACCTGTTGTTTCCATGTACACGAGAACAACAACCACAACCAAAACCGACAGCGAAAGCGACTTTTCATGATATATGACAGTGATCGGAATCCACACCACCTGGTAGTACAGATCGAATCCTCTACAGTGTGTGTGGATATATTTTGTTCCTAAATTGGTACTAGATTTTTGTTTGCTTATTAGCCTCCATCTTTCCTCCTGATCTCCTCTACTCTCCTCTCCTCTCCTCTCCTGTTCTCTAGCTATTTCTCTTTTCGTGAGGTGAGCTGTGAACTGTACTCGTCCATATAACACCGACCAACCCACGCGCACTTGAGATTCACTTAAGCGAATTTCGGTCCGAGTCGAACAAAACATAGCAAGTACATTGACATTCATTAATTAGATCGACTTTCTTATGTAACTAGTGCACCTACTAGTCTCATCAAGTGTCCGACAACATGCCGATTGCTTCAGAAACCACCCCTCAGGCCTAAACTATCTACGAATGTGTGACCTCTTCAAGGAGCCAGTCGCAGGCAGCGTGATGCCTGGAACGCAGTCAACAAGTCAAAGTATGAAGAACAGGTTAGTATCATCAGATCAGCCAGTGTATCTGAACTGAACGAATCTACTCTTGACTGCTGTCAGGAGGGAGCTGGTGAGTGTCACATCAAGTTCATGTGCAGGGCAGCGTATTTGGAAACCAACGAAAAGGCCCTTTTCGACCATTTGTTGCCCTTGCCATTCGTAGCGGCCACTTCATTGGCTGGATCTCACGAACAGTCTAATCGCTGTCCAATCAACGAGAGCTCTAGCTGCGAGTCCAAAGAACTCTCCACCGTACCCGGAGTGCAAACCAGATATCGTATTAAATGAGCGAAAAACTGGACGCACATTTCTCGTCTAATGGGGCATCGACATCTTATGGTTGCATGTATCACATACAATTCAATGCTTTGATTCTGCGATTGGGATTTAGCAACTTGGACTCGTTCAACAGCTGTAACTGAAGCTTGTGCTGGGCTAATTTGGCCCAAAGCGAGCTTATTATGGGCGAGCGAACCTACTCATTCGTTCGTGAGTATGTTTAGCAACTCAGAGATTTGGTGCCACCGGTTTGTTGGATCCGGTGCCATTGACCGCATGAGGGGAAGTGGAGGGTTTTAGAAAGCTCCACTCTAAAAACAGCAGAAACAGAGCCATGAAATCTGCATCAACGTTGGGTCGAGCTCCTCCATACTCCTCTTCCTCTTCCTCCTCCTGCTGCATATCGAGGGACTGGAAGGCTCAATCGGATGTGGCGTCCAATTAGAATCGCTCCAAGTGCAGAATTAGTTTAAGACAAGGTGGAGCTTTTCCTCAGCAGCGTGTGTATCCAGTGTGTGTGGCACATCCGAACATTTGGCTACTCCCGATCGTTCAACTACGGCGCAGGCGGACAGACTGCTCTAGACGGAGGCTATATTTGTAGCCCTTGATAAGACGAGGACGAGTAGGAGGACGAGGACGAGGGAGGAGGAGGGATTGATTCATTTCTTACTGCTGAGAATGGTAGATCTCGCTATCTCAACTTGCTATTCTCGCGTCGACAAAGTCTTTTGGATCGGACCGATTTGGCATGTGGTGACATGATCCAGGTCATCACGGAAGCTTCCTCGGCCGGTCATGGATTTGGACCGTGAACACTGTCAGAGAGAGTAACGATTTTGTAGCCTGAATCGATGAACTCGTAAATTCTACGGTCCTAGATGTCGTTTGCTTGCTCGCATGGTTATGGCGGATTAATTAAAGCCTCCCGGACTGCCCCTTGCCAACTGCTGCCTCTTCTCTTCTCTCCTCCTGCCCATGTGCGCGAAACAAGCATTGTTCTTTCTGCAGGAGGGAGACGAGGAATTACGGGCCGATTTAGCAGACATGCTCCAGTGGCTGGCTGGCTTCCAGACTCTCGGGGACCGTCACCTGCTGCGGCGTCACCATCTGGAAGACGGATCGCATCTGGGAACTCGACAAAGAGCCTGAAGGAGGACGAGGAGATTTGGGCGATCTGTACATACACAAGCACCTGCCGCTGGCCGGCCGTCCGTCCATGTACCTTGGAGCAGCACCGCCTCTCGGTGCATTGTGCAGCTAGCGGGAGGAAGGAAGGCGGAGGACGGTGGCAGGGACATGGCATGGGGATTTGTGTCAGTGTCAGAAGATCTGGACGCACTTGCAAGTTGACCGCGCATGGATCCTTTTGCTCGTGAGGTAGACGTGTTCTCTCACTCCCAGACTCTCAGATCGTGCCTCCACTGGCATCAGGTGAAGGCAGCATCTGCCCCGAGCCGAGCACGAGAATGTCCACGGAATCATACGTCTGTCAGCCATTCTGTGTAACAAACTATCGGTTCGAGGACCGTCGGAAATCAATGTGCAGGTCACATTCAAACTTCACATTCGCTGTATTCCACGTTTGTAATCAGACATGAGAATCTCGGAAGGAGGTAGTTTTTGTCATCTCTCGAAAGTTCGGTGGACGAAACACGAACATGGTGTCGAACGATCGATCGATCGATCGACAGGAGCTGCACCAGCAGCAACTGTTACCTAGATCGTTCCAAAATCCAAAAGGCGGTGGTGTTCTGGGCCTGGCACCGAACCTCGAACTGACTCACGACCAAATGAAACGACGCTCGTTTCCACTGCAAATGAAAGCTCGGAGCTTAATGTCCGGACTCCGAAGGCCCCTGGAGACAGATCTGCAGCATTCTTGCTCTATGCTCCTTAAACCCTTTCCGTTCCTCTACTGTCGTCGTCCCTCAAGCCCCCACACACACATCGCCTCTTGCTTGAGCAGCTCGTACCGTCAAATATACCGACTGCAGTAGACAGCGCAACTCATGCAGAAGGTTTGCGTCGAGCTTTCGACAGGGGAACATGGCGAGCGATTATCGTCCATCGGCATGAGGGTGTGACTGATCGGTGCTCGAGCGAAGTACGCTGCGAGGCTCGGCGAGGCGACTCGATTCACATCGCCCGGGAACGTCGAAGATCCTCGCCTCTACTGCGTGGCCATCGATCACCGTGGACTCGATTTTCCATCACTTTTCTCTCCATCGAATTTCCATCATTTTCCATCGTCGGGTCTTCTCGTGGTCGACCACCTGACAACAATTCGAGCGGTCGTTGCTCGAGGCCGAGAACGGACGGAGCCTGGCTGATGCAAATGCGGAGTGCATGACCGAGTCTCGTGTGAGTGATGTTGCAGTGAGACATTTCTTTCGCCCTCTGTGAATTCAGCGATTTTTTCAAGCAGTCACGGCTACAACGCTAAAGAGGAAACACACGCCTTCTGGGCCTCGATCCGTGTGTTGGAAGTCACCGATCGAAGTGCATCCGATTCACTGCCCGCGCATGCTTTCTATGATGGCCGAGTGAGGAACAATCACCAGGACGCGCAATCTTTTCCCATCAGCATGAAATGAATCCACTCCCTGAGCTCCCTGCACCTTCCACGTTCCCAAATTGCTGCCACTTCTGCCGTCAGACCTACATCTTGTGGCACTGGAATATGCTTAGAAACCCACTCGATGTGAAATGTGGTGAGTCTCCACCATCGAGTTCTGAGCCAAGGGAGAAACTGCGTGATGGAACGAGAACGACAGATCGAGGACATCGAGCTCCTTCCTGACTAAATAAAGTGCACCGGCCACCTTTTGCATATTAGAGGAATGACATGCGACCAACTGAGCGAGTTTCATCATGGAAAACAGAAGAAACAAGCCGAAACCTGTTGAATCGCACTCGGCAATCAGCGCAGGACCCTCTCTTGGGTACCAGCCAACCTTTCACAGAAGAGAGCAATGAGGTCTTACCTGACACTGCCATACGCCAGAAAACTGCAAAACCCCGCCATAAACATCAATATCGATGTTCTCCACATTGTTAGGAAGGTCACAGTTGTTCTGTACATCCATAGACAGCCGACACAATGTAGAGTTTGTCCAATATACGGGGAAATATTCACGCCTTCGTAAGGTCGCTGAACATTTGTGGTATCCGCTGGGGATATTTTATTGAGGTAGAATCACTTTGCCAGAATCACGAGAAGCTTATTCCATTTTCTATCCATTGTAGATGTACTCCCAATAACTTATTTAACAATTTTAGCCTTTGAATGGTAAGCGAAATAAGTTTTTGGTAGATTCTCGATGTTTGCTTTCCTCAAGCTGACATTCCCCACACCTGCTCACGCTGGTGCTCCTCCTTCAAGCTCAAGTGCTCCATGCGAACGTCATCTTCACTAGATTCACTCCTGAACGCCTACTACTTTCTAGTCGGGTCCTCCCCTACGTAAGTCGATTGCTAAAGCGAGATAACATTTAATCATGTAAAGATCTAGCCGACTCCATGATGAAGAAGAGGTGAGGAACAAGTCACAACTTGCTAACAGATCGAAGGCGAACGGGCAGAAGATCAACAAACTGGCCACTGAGGCAATAATCAGAAAAAGCCATTCACAGGTACGGATACTTCACAACGACGTGATAAGCCTCCGTGAAGTGAGTGTGCAATACATGTTGCAGGAGATTGAGAAAATGCAGAGATTGAAATGACCATAACCAACAGCACTGTCAAATGTATAGTGACTTCCGTAATGGGAATATACTTGGTAGAACAAATTAAGAAGTTCACTCGCAGGGCATCCATCTCCTAAGGTACACGCTACCGTTTTTAACGACTTTCGAGCTTCAGGATTCGTCACCTGAAACTTCCCACAATTTTCATAGATTTCCTCTTAATTGTGTCACAACATCCTCACCTCATTCTGCTATATTCATATGCTTGCACCGTGATTCGCCTCGATCACTGCAAGCATATGCATAAAGCATTCCCACTCTTCAAAGCAGAAGACTTGTCACCTCCCACAACCTTTTATTCTGGGAGAAAGGTAATCATATACAGTATACTTACACTCAAACAATGTTACATACCAAAAATACCACCATAGCTGAAAACCTTTTGAGAAAACCTATCCCTTGAGAGCTTGCCATGTATCTACTACTGCGCTTATTGGAACTCGATTCCCTCTACAAGGGACCATTATGGACGTGTCCTCAACTGAATGTGCAGGTAAACTCCAGCTAACCCTCACTGCCTTGGGAGCCACAGTCATAACTCCCTCTACCCGTGGTATCGTAAGGGCATTCTATAATTCTGTTGGATTACATACCTGTACACACCCCTGTCATCTCTCTCTTCATGGAGAAATTGGAGAAGTAATTATCAATGCAGCATTCCTCAAACTAATCTACTCACCACAGCTGGAGGGTTGGATTTCAGGTTACTGTGAAAGCCCGCACAACTTCCACAATTGCCGCGCGACACATTGGACATCTGTCACTCTTTTGGTGCAACTCCATTGCGCATGTCAAACAAGTACACATATGACCACATCTGCAACGAAAACGTGTTGTCCGGAAGTGTTACATTTCCTCGGTCCTTCCCATGACTAGCGCAGCTACTTTCAGTCGATAAAGCCTGACAAAACAAGCTGGTAAAGTAGACGTTCTAAGGCAGTAGACTGACGTTCTTACACTGGTCAGCTACTTTCATTCTAAACGAAACAACCAGAAGGGGTCAACGAGGGTCACAACTGACCTGTAAAGAAGAGAGTCAATTGGCTTATCGCAGCAAATGCAGCAAATGCCCCTTTTGACGGAGGTCCACTTCGCACCATCCAATGCTTCGTTTGGTATTGCTGTACAACAAAGCAGAAAGGCTCACATTAGTCCACAGACAACCTCGGTTTCTGAACAGTTTGTACGGTGGAGGAGGTACGATCGGAGGTTAGCACTCATTCTATAAGTTGTCACGTGGGTTTACTAAATAACATCACAATAGTGACGAAGTTTCCTTTCCAACTCGAAGTTTCCTTCTAACGTGATGACAGAGAAAGTGGTTGTATGACAGCCATTCTGAGACTCCGGCAATGCTCGCTGCCTCTACTAAAATATTTTGGATACGAGGAAATCCTATCTCCGGAGTCAAGGATAATCGTGAAAAGAATGGTCTACTGCATAACTGCCGAAAGACGCACGTCTACCAGATATGATCTGTCAAACGCTGGGGCATCAAGTCGTTGTAGTACAATGGTAAGTATTCCAGCCTGCCATGCGGGTGAATCGGTTTCTATCCCTGGCAGCGACGAGCTAATGACAATGTTTGCCGAATCGTATATTGCAAGTAACTTTTCATTAGCCGTTTTGCTACTGCAATTTATTTGGAACAAATAATATTAGGAGGTTCAGATTTACCTTTGCCAATGTACATCCGCTGTAGAGCACCAGAGACTTCTTGCCGTATTGAACGTTGGAGCTCAAGTTGCATTTGTATACATGTATCCATCATTCCACGCAACTCTCCCATGCCTCGTTGTAAGACGGCAACGTCTGCTTTCAGACTTCGGCTTGTGGATTCCCACTCCTGCACGGACGGAAAGACTCAGAATAGACGTTTTATCCTACACAGGTCTTATCTCGAACAGATTGCAGATTGAAGATTTTTGACCTGATATCCAGAACAGGACTTCGATCTTAGGTGGCTACACAAACTCTAACCATATATTCGTTTTTTCCACACAAGTACTAGTCATGGACGTTGTCTTGAATACAAATCTAGTAATGAGTCCACTCAGAGAATTACGTTATATCAGGAGATTCTGTGGTTCTCTTCTCTCCTTTAACATGCAAGGACCAAGACATAGCTAGGTGGATTCAGCAACTTCATGACAATTTTCCCCGGTTATAGAAAAATATTTCGATCATCTGGTACCACAAAATCAGTGGACACTGATCATGTGAGCCATGATATTCAATAGCTATTGAGAGAAGAGATGATTCCACTACTTGTTCAGTCTTGACACGCCAGCTTCTACAGAATCCGTTACAGCACCAGGTCAACAAGTCAGCGGGAAGTCCTAAGTTCAACTCTCAACGGAAGCAGGGCAATGTCGAAATGTTTAGCGAGTGCGACTGAATATTACGTGGGCTTTGACCGCGAAATCCCAAATCATGCCGGCCACCACTCTTCATTTGGGTCAATATATGTGGGAGCGGCATCTATCTACCCAAAACCTTTTCTATGTGGTCACATCTACTTTGATCCATGGGGCCAACGGATGAAATACGAGATGATGCACACTCAGACTGGACGTATTCGGGGTGTCAAATACAAGATTGTGTATTTGTTTGACTTCACAGATTATGTCAACAGATTACGAGCCCCCACAAGAGCCACAACCGGGATATTAAAGCTAGTCTCTCTTTGACGTCATTTTCCGATTGTCGTGCAAAAGTTAAAACACTATCGCTTCCTCCTCGTCTCTCTAAAAAGGTACTCTCTAAAGGTCGACATCGAAGTAAATTATTTTGACTTCGACTCATCAAATCTCCAAATGTTGACCACCTCGACACAGCAGCAAGAATTAATCTTAGTTTTTCTTGAGCAATTACATTTAAACACAACAGCGTCTGGCTAATCGCGGATAAGAATGAAGTCAACTTGTGACAAGGAAAGAGGTACTAACCAGTTCCCCAGCCCGCATAGGAGGCCGTGGCCATGCTGCTGTCTGAGTTTCTCGCAGCCACAGTGGTAGAGGAGGAGGAGGTGGAGGAGGAGGAACAAATATCGGAATAGCTTGAGCAGCATTATCTCTGACGTCTCCATCCACCTGCCGTTGTTGAGCTTGCTCTTGTTGATTGGCTGCAGGCTGCGCAGGTCTACCGATATTCCAAGGTTGTGGCGTACGCCCTTGTCTGTGAATGAACGATCTAATTAGCTGATCGAGCCGGTCCCGGAATTCACTGGCCAGCATAGTTGTAACACTCCGCCTGCAATGAGATCGACATAGAAGCTTGAGACAAAAAGACTTGGACCAGCCACCATTGTCTGGGCAGCTATTGCTGACGGGCGAATCAAGGTGCATTGAGAACCATAACAAAGCTTCTGTGGGTTCAGTAAGATACCGTCCAAGGAGCTCACGAAGTTCCATATTATATGCTGTGGCGTCTTCCAGTGATTGCAATTCACTTGCCCTGCGGGCAGCGCCCACAGCTGGCCAATCTCTCCGTACTGGGCGCTCAACCCTTGGGGCCACCCTGGGTGGCACGGTTGCGGTCGATACAACCTGCTGGTTTGGCAGCCTTCTCCTTTGAACATCATTTTGTTGCGGATTGGCCTGGCCACGAACAATAGTTTCTAGCCTGAAACGGAATCCCTCCCTGCAGACGATTTTCCATGATCGGTAAACTGAACGAAAAGACGACGCTGGAGCAGAAAGATGTCTCGACATGCATTTGGGAACATGAGCAGCCAGCAATTATGCCCATGGTCATACGAAGAGACGAGGAAGTAAGATAAAACTTAAGATTGTCTACACTGGTAATGATGAGATAAAAGCCTGCACAAAAGAAGTAGAACAAATTATCTTGCATTAAGACACTACCTTAAACCACTGACAGCACGTCGTTGACGGAGCTGTCCTATTTCTCCAGCTGCTGAAGAAGGAGGCCGATCTTCGTCAGCAGTTACTCCATTCCTGAGAAACCGTCCTCGCAGAAGGTTCTGGGAAATGAGACATACACGATGTACTGTCAAACTTTCATGTAATACAGTAACTGGTTGGTCGAAAATTTGGTCTCAACGTTTGACAATCCCGACTGTCGATGCGAACACCAAACGTTAGTGCCAGTGTCTGTTTACATTCACGCGAAGACACGGCGACTTTATGATGTGAAAGCTATGATTGCAGCCAAGATCCAATCGTTTCTCTCATTTCTCAGATTAACAAATATTCCTTGCTCGTGATCCTACAGTCAAGGAATTCGGCTACCAACTAACAGAGATAAATTCGTATCCCAAGATCTAGAAAGACTGGATCATACCTGCAGACGGTTGCGGTGGGCAAATTCAGAAACACTGCGGTGTTCTGACAGCCCTTCCAGCTCTCTTTGCCTTTCCTGCTCGGAACGCATCAGCAACTCCAAGATCATCCTCCGCTGTCTCTCAGCATCCAGACTGCGCTGATCTGGGACCGTATCACCTGGAGAAGAGCTGTCCACTCTTGCTTGATGCACTGGAGCGGGCCTAGGCGGAGAGCTGGATGGGGTATCTTGCCTTTGAGGCGATGCGTCCCTACTCTCAAAATTGCTCACACGTACCCATTCTCGAGCCATTTCTCTTACTCTCTCCCTCTCATCCTCACGAAGCCATTCAGTCCGGCTACTCGGGCGAGCATTAGACCCTGCCTCTGAGTCGGCCACACCACTTTCTCTCATCCATCTCCGGACTATTTGCCTCACCCTTTCCCTCTCTCCATCTACCTCTTGTGTTTCATTTTGGTTCCCACCCATTTCCGAGACTTGAGCATTGTTGCTAGCATCCTGGATGGTTGTTTCGATTCGCGAAGGTTCAATTAATATGGACTGCTCCATCTCAGCCCCAATAATATCCTGATTATCCTGCCACCGTTGCAAGTTATCTTCTGATATGACCGCTTCTGTTTGTGCTGATGTTCCATCAGACTGCGGATTCCTGTGCAAATCCGCTTCTTCATGCTCTCGTTCAAACTCTTCCCACATCTGCACTTCCTCAGATTCAGTTCCTCGAGTCCTAGGCCTTTCCGAAAGTTGTTGTCTTTCCCTCTCTCTTTCACCCTCCAATTCCCTCCACATCTGGAACAAGGAATTCTGAGGTCTTTGTGGCCTTTGTACTGAAGCGTTCTCATCTGTTCGATTTCTGGCACACGGTTGGGGTGGTGGTTGCAAGAAAGATGCATCCAAAGTAGACACAGTATGCAGACTGGCGAGTGCCAAAAGTTCTGCCTCCCGAACTTGCCTCTCCCTCAGCGTAGGTTCAGTACCCTGCCTTTCATCCCACCTACCAAGAATATTGGATTGGGGTCTCAACAATGCACGCGAGACTCCCAAATCATCAGCAGATTCACCAGGCAATTGCTGCTGGCGCCCTAGCCTGTCCTCTTCGACATCGACTCCTTCCTCACCGTCGACGAGCAGGTACTGATGGTGGTGGTGGTGGTGGTGGTGGCATTGGTCTGGCGAGTGATCCAGCAAATGGTGACGAGATTCGCTGCTATCACCCCTGAGAGGTCCAAAAGTAGGTGCATGTGGGCTGTTGTCATGAGACGTGCTACAGGATGCAAGGGCCATGCAAGTGTTTAGGTGATCCCTGACAAGTTCTTCCAGCTGCATTCTGAATTCCGTGTCAGCGTTGGTCACAGGATGAGCCTCCAGGAGTTGCATCACTTCCTGCTTATGCTGCAATTGTTGCAAGTGCATAATGGCTGCTATCCTGGCATCCATCTCAGCCTCATCGTCCCCGACGGCCTCTCTCACCCCTTCCAAATCTGCAGCTTCTGCTGCCGCCATGACTCCAACAATCAAATGAATGCGTGTTGAAAGTTCAACGCAAATACAATTACAACGCCTGCAAAACATAAGTCCAACAAAAGCCGGTCAGGACGTTGCGATGAATCAAAAGATCATGTACGCGAATCCGACTTCGCGGCTACCTCCTTCAAGGACCGAAACTGAAAAGGATATCTGCTAGACCAAAACACGAAGTAAAACATGACGGATGACTGAACTTGCGTAGCGGAATCACAGTAACGAGTGAACCTTTCAATTTCAGCTGCAGAGAAACCGGTCACACTTGTCCTAGTCCAGTATGAAGCTCTTGAGTAGACTCTCGTCTCAGAACATCCATTTGTGGTAGAACTATGAGCACTCCACTCGCAGTCAGTGCGGAGAAACTACCCCACAACACACAAATAAAAAAAATTCGCCGAATATGGGGTGTGGGGGGCATTTACAGGATGAAGGAGAGGAAGGCAACATGAGACTCACCTGAAACTGGCGAGGAGGCAGTTTCAGGTGAGAAACTTGTCTTCCAGCCTGAGAGATTGTTCCTGAAGCCAATTGTCCCCAATTTCTAGACATAAAATATGATCATTGCACTCTCGGAGGAACCAAACGTTAGCTAACACAGCTTCGGGAAAAAGCCGGCACTCCCCTAGAGGGCATTCAAGGAACAGCTCTCCCCCAGGCCACATTGACAAATTCATCAACTCCAAACTCCCTGAACCCTCCAATAAACACGCAGGGTCGCTTGGAGGGTTGCTCGGGAATCAGGCTACCTGAACTGAGAGCCACTCTTCTCCTGTCCTCTTGTGATTCGTATGTCTGTCCTTCTTGCAGATGATGAGGTACGAGGAAGTTCGAAATTTTGGCACTCTGAGGGCGAGGCCCGAAAACATCAACCGTAGCAATACTCAAAGAATTATGCACAAAAGAATGTGTGTGTACAAATTGATTCCCACTCGCTTTCTCTCGCTCTCGTTTCCACTTCCTACTCTTCCTCACAGGTCCTCTCCACTCGGATAGATCTGTCTGCGTCTGTCTTTCTCCTTCGCCGGCTCCTCTTCTCCTTCTTCAACTCTTCCACCTCTCGGTCGACGATTCCATCACACTATCTCTCCGCCCGGCCTCCCTCCCTCCCTCACTCCCTCCCCCCCTACCCCACTCCCTCCCCTTTCTTCGCCTCCCTTGAACCCACACGTCTCCTTCCTCCGCCCTCTCCTCCGCTCACGCAATCCTTCCCTCCCCAATCTCCTCCTCCTTCTCCTCGTCCAGGATCATAAACCCCCAAGGCCGCAACCTTCAACCTTCCCTCCACCACCTCTCCGCACCAAATCAATCGCTCTCTTATTCCCTTCCCTCGCCCACACTCCCTCTCGCGCAATCGAACACTCAATCGTTCGCAATTACTCGGGCGGTACTCCAATCGGATCACCTTCCCAAATCCTTCTTCCTCTTCCTCCTCCCTCCTCTTGACGAAAGCTACAAAGAATCAATCAACCTCTTCACTTCCCCTTCTCCTCCTCCTCCTCTCCCCTCCCCTCCCTCCCTCCCTCTCTCTCGCCCCACCCAAAAAAAGCACGAATTATCTTGTACTCTCCACTGCCTCCGAAGCTCCCCCGAGCCCGGGATCTCTCAGACGACGCTTACTGCTACTGGTCCACGCCTTTCTCTCAAGGTTGACCTCTCTCTCTCTCTCTCTCTCTCTCTCTCTCTCGCAATTTCTCGTCCCGACCTCTCGGCCAATTCTCGACTCTTGACTTCCGCCCTCGCGGAATTGATGGCCTCGGAATGCAAGCGAGCGAGCGATTGAGCGATTGAGTGATCGAGTGCAGCACTGCTCGTCGTCCTGCGCGTGTCGCTGCGCTGCTCCCTGTCCTTCTCTCTGCGCCTCTTTTAGGCCTCCCTTCCTTTCCTTTCCTTCCTTCCTTCCTTCCTTGGCCTTCCTTTCCTTCTTCCCTTTCTTTTCCTCGTTCGTGCGCCCCGGCGCGATGTGCTGGCACGTTCTCATAGGCCGCACCCGCGGGCCCGCCCTCGTCGCCCCGCGCGCCGGGCGTTGCGCGCAGCGCCGCGTGGCGATTCCGGGCGGGGCCAATCGGCCCGGCCCGCGTGGATGCCGGAGCGCTCCTCCTCTCCGTGAAGGCGTAGGCGAGAGGCAATCATCTCTGCCTTCGCTCTTTGGCCCGGAGCGACTCGGGCCGTCCGATGGCATCCGCTCCGTTCGGATTCTCTCGGTCGATCTGCTCGCTCCTTTCCTTTTTGCGCTAATCCCAATCCTCTCCCGACTGCTCTCCCTGTCAGCATCACGGACAGCCTCGCCACGTCGGACGTTTAGTGCTACGAGCTTTCCTTTTTCCCGTCCCCCAAAGTCGTCGATCTTGATCTCTACGGTCAATATTCCTCCCCAAGATTCCGATCTGTCAACTTCAGCGGGTCAGCAGGGTGGTAGACTATATCCTCTTTCGCGTAGGTCCAGTCAGCATGCATACATTGCCACGTCAGACTCCGTAAACCTTCCTGCTTGCCCGGATTAGCAGTCGATTACGACCGGAGTCCCGGGGCCCGTCTTTCGCAAGCCCTTAAGACAAGATTTGACCGTAATTAGTACCGATCGCTGACCGTGTAAGGACATACGTAGATAAGGTTGTCAGAGACTTGCTGTTGCGTAGGTCTCGGTCATACGACGGTACGACCCCACTTTTGTCCGCTTTGGTAAATGCTCTATAAAAGTCGCAGAGAGAGGATTCTATAATGAATGATTACATTTGTCGTCGCTTGAACAAGAGGGCAGGTTTGGGGGATAAAGAAGTTTGTCCTCCTGCACTGAGTCCACTGCACGGATTGATGCGGACTTTAACTTGGACTTCAAGTTACTTTGAACAGAGGATTTTTACAAATTTCCACCTGAACATATGTTTGTTGCTTCTGGATGCATGTCATTTGGACAACTCCTTCTCACAAGTTGATAGAAATGTACTCCTCATGGGTTTGGAAGCACCGTACGATTTGGTTTATCTACTCATCAGATTGTGTTATTTTCATGGCTTCAGTTGTTGGAGTGTGAGCACATGCACCCTTCACCTTGAAGGAGTTTGATTTTTCCCAAATTTCTTATTTTACTGTGTCAACACTCACTCATGCCCTATTCTCAATTTATGTTGACAAGTCTTACAATGAACAAATTTAGAAAAAATTTAAATTACAAAATCTTATCGAATTTTGATTTTATTTTATAACCATATTGAAAATCCAAAATGCCTGTCGTCCAAAAAAATAATCTTTGTTATTATATAAGTATTCAAGTGACTCACAAAAGAGTGGAGCAGACACAAAATAAAATAAAATCTATAATCAAGGAACTAGGCTTCAAAACTTTTACATGAAAAAAATTTCATGACATACTACAAAAATCTAGAATCAAAAAAATTGAATTCAATATAAACATTCAAAATTTCATCTTTAGTCTTATAATTACCGATTAATTTTATATCAAATTTAACATCATCTTCATAGATAAAACACATAAAGATTTGATAAAAGTGAATAGAAAAAATTTCTTCCTGTTTTAAAACCTTGTATACAATATGTATTATTATTTATTCATAATAATTTAAAAAAATCGGACATTTCTTTAATCCGTAATTGAAATATTGGCTTATGTAGTCTGTGAATTATTCGCAATCAACAAAAACATTCAACAATTTTAAACAAAATAAGGAATAATTATCTTTATTTTTTAGATATCATCAATAAACATTATATATAAAACAATGTTACCATTCTTTTGAATCATATTCATAAAAAAATTTAATTTTATATCGGTTTTACTAAATTTTGAGATAAAGTTAGTAATTTCATGTGTCAAACTATTTATTAAAAACACAATCATACAAATAAATGTTTGTTATCATATGTTAAGCACTAAGTAGTGATATCTATGAAAGATAATTCTGAAATCTGAGATCATAAAGTAAAACCTGCAAAACTTTATTTTTTATAATATGAATTGACCAACAAAATATTAATAAAAAACACATTAAATTGAAATAGTCATAAATTATAATGAAAATGACATACACAATGTAGAAAAAATATTTTGTAGGAAAAAATCTTGCAATTCAACTTACATTTATTCACATTCTGTAATAGAAAATACCATTCACTTGTAAAACTTCATACATAAGAAGTATCAAAGCAAAGCAAAATCTCATTGTTCTTTATAAGAATATGAGCAATAAAATCATAGATACTATATGTCATATGTGGAAATAATAAATACATTCTCATAATGTTCATGCAGTTTTATTACATCTTTCACCAACAACATTCAAAATTTATAGTGATGTTTTTCTTTATAAAAAATTAATATTATGGCATACATTATGTTTTTATCACATATGAAAATGTGTATAATCATAAATAAATAAATATATTTATATATTTATATATATTCACATGAAGGTATTTTGTAAAAAAAAGTATCATCTGTAATGTAATATGTATCTCAAAATTAAAATTAGAATAAATTTAATCAAATAAATAAAAATTCATTTTTAGCCAGTTTACAAACTTTAGTTTTCTAATATTATTCAGAATTATGATTTTCATATACAGGATACATTGTATAATTAATGAGGTTCATATCATGAAGATTACATGATTACAAATTTATTTTTTTCCCGAAAAAATAATGATTTTTCTCATATACAAAAAAAGCGCAATTTTCATTAAAGTTGCATTTTCTAAATTTTTAGTAAATCCAAAAGATTGCTTCAAAACTTATATTAATATTGATAATTGATCATTATGGAAAAATGAAAAATGAATTTATGCTTGAAATTATGCAATACTAAATAAATGGAATTTAAGATTTTGATATGTTCTTTAATTATAAGAATCTTAAAAAAAAAGAGATCAAATGATTTACATATCACATCTTATTTTTAAATAAACATTACACGCTATACACTTACAATTTTCTTATAAAAGGCACGTTGATGTCCTTTTTTATTTTATTTGGCTCCAATCTATTTTGATTTTTCAAGATTTTTTTTGGATATTTTAGCTTTATATAATGGCTAAGTTAAACACTATTAGCATATGATAAGTTTGCAGTAAATTGAGTCAAATGCAATTTATAATTAAATGATGTTTTTAACATGAAATTATAAGTACATCATGATTAAGTTTTTAATATTGCAAAAAGAAATGAAAACACTAATTTCGAATGTATCTAAGACGTAATCAAATTACAAGGTGAATCATGAAGAATATGACAACAAATTATCTGAATACTATTAAACATTACGCAGAAACTAAGATAATATCATATGCATAGAGGATACATGAAGATCCACTAGTAATTACTAGATCATGCGGATTGAATGGAAAGTTCAACTAAATCAATAAAGCCTATTGTCAATCAATATTTTATAATAAGCATTACTTATATTAAGCTTATTCTTTGCTCTTTGAAAAATAACTTTAAACTTTTTAAAAAGCTCATTTGAAAATAAAAAACAGAGTAAAAAAATGAATTTAATTAGCAATAACCATATTTTACATAATGCCACACTGACATGTGCAACACTGATTTCTTACATTGAACCTCACCAAGAACTCAGCTCTACCCATGGCATGGAAGCAACTGAAGCTACTACTGTTCACTTGAAGTGGAAAATATACCATCCCTGCCATATAGAACATCCGTGGACATCCAAACTATCTTCCAAGAGTCGATCAAATCAAATTTGCCGGCAGTTGCCACAAATTGATGTCCCCGATGGCTACAGGGGTACATACAAGGCACCGATGGAGACAAATAGAGACTTGGGTGATGATGCACTACCTGTATTCGGATATTTGTCTTGAATCTGTACATTTGCCTCACATACTACTACAGATACTTCTTTTGGCTTTACTGATTTATTACTCTGATATTCATATCTTCTATGTATCATAAACTTGACTGGAAGATGTATATCTCTCCCACGCTTGTGAGGCTCAAGGTCATGCATGTAGAACAAAAGAAGGAGGCTACGCTTGAAGGGAAGGTCTATCCAACTCATCATCGACCAAGATGATGAGTTGGATAGACCTACAGGAACCTGAAACATAATACCCTTCCTCGAACGCAGCGGATTCCTCGAGTATAAAAGTTTTCAAGGTAATTATTGAAATCAACATGGTCATAATAACATGCAAAGTCATGATGCTGACATCATGGTCTCTTGGTATGTTGGTTAATACTGGTATAAGATTATTAAAAATATAGCAACACTCTGATATATTATTGGTAGGAGAGAGCATTTCTGTAAGGAATTATGACACCAGTGTCGTCAGCGCATGAGGAATTTACAACTTTTTATATACGTTCGCTTTAAAGCACTTTATTACATTATGCATCGCAAAATACTACACACTGATCCGGAGGATGCTGAACTTCGTTGTTTACAATGAACTCGTTTCTTGCACTATACTACTTCTTGCGAGTTTAGAGACTACGGACTTGTAAGTAGCGATCACCTGTTCTACTTAATATAGTCATAAAACGTTCTACGAAAAAAGGTAACAATAATAATAAGCTCATATTACAAAGCCGACAGTTGCAACCCAACGTGTTGTAGGAACAGACACCGGGCGCAGAAGGTACAGTCAGACCGGGCAGAAGAAGTCCAATGGAAAGCTTGGACCGTGAAAGAGTAATATTATCACTAGAGAGGGATATTATTATGAAACGGCTCATGTTCTAGGAATCTCGATAAATGCGACAGCTTCTCCTCGTCGAACCTCGGGAAACTTTGTAACCATGGCCATGAAGGTACGAGCAGTTGGGAATGGATCTTTGATTTTCTGAGGGAATATGTTCCTCTCATCAAAAGGGTTCGTGGGCTGCACTTTGTCTCGCCTCTGGGTCTGAGAACGGCCAGACATGTCCTGGTCACCTTCATCCTGCAATGAATGAAGGTGCAGGTGACCAGAGCCACTGTTGTTGTAAGGGAGAGTAGGACCGCCATCGTAGCGTGTACTCCTGTAATTTGAGTGTGGACTAATTAGTGTAAATATAATTTTTGTTGGAAGAAGTGTTAACATCCACGAACATGCCCATTCAGCTTTCGAAAAGTGGACAGTTCGCTGGTTTTACTAAAACTTTGGTTAAGTAATGGGAGGAAATTGAGCACGAAGAAAAGTAATATAATAAAATTTCGCCAAAGGTGGTTCAGCCTTTTCCTTCAGTGGAACAATTCTTCCTGCTTGTAATATACATCAAAACTTGTAGATATGAATCGTCTTCACAACAATAACAGCGGAGGGGATCAACTTTCATAGACCAATACGACTGAGAATTCTCATGCATTCCATGTAAATCAACAACACGACATATGATTCCATCGTGTACAATCTTGTTGAGATCATTCATTGATACACTTATACCCATGGATATATGTCATTATTATTCACAATTTGGTTGACAAAGAGCTTATGATAACTTTTAAAAATATTATGTGACATATATGTGGTTTACAAATGTAATTTTCTTTTGAAAGTTGTTAACCATGGATAGAATTGTTTCAAGAATAAAAATTTTCATATATATATATATATTACCAAATGAAAATAAAATATAAATTTTATAAAATCATTGGTTCAATGTCCAAATTTAGAAAAATATTATTGAGTCCAACTCTTTCATTCCATAATCTTATTTTAATCTAAAACAACGTTGCACTTCTAATGATAACGAAACTAAACAGGACTATGTCCAAATAGGTTGAGATTATTAGCTTGAAATATGCATGCCGAAAAATATATGGACAATGGATATGATAAAAAAAACTAAATTAACAAGTTATTTTTATGGAATTAAGAACATTGACTTGGTTGGAAAGATAAGCCATGCAGTGGTTGCAACATATGAAATATCTTAAAGACAAAGAAAATATTATTTCATTCGGAAAAGATGGTTAGGATGAAGAAATTTTTTAAACAAAATGACGAAGAAGCAAAAAGTTCTGCCTGGATTTATCATGTTGAATATCTTTTGTTGCATTTAGAGAGCGAGATTTAGTAACTGTAAATGTAAGATCATAAATGTAATAACTTACGTCAATGGTAAGATATTGTTTTCATTAGATTCAACTAAAAAACTTGCCAAATATTTGAATTTTTTTTTTTGAAGAATTTGATTTAAGATTCCAATTGGAAGAATGCATCCAAGTCATGTTTGTGTACAACTAATTTATATTGTTTAAAAATCAAATCAATATTTAGAATGGTTGACTTGTACCCAAATTTCCATGCTTGTGGAATAATCTAATTTCCAACTACACATAACATGATATTGATATGTATACCATTAGCAGATTTAGTTAAATTGAAGCCATATCTTGTGAAGCATGTCGACCTACAAACGATTCAAGACATTCCCTCCTCTTTGGATTGTATTGCAAGCCTTTTGGGGTAAGAAAGGAGTGTTCAGTCTATTTCACTAACTGACAACACGAGTAACAAGCAATACATATGTTCCCATAAGGAGAAAGTCAGCTGATCTGGTCTGTTCACATCAGTATGTGGTGATCCATCCATCAATCAATCAATATCCACAGAAGAGAGTAATAGCGTGGTGTGATTCTTAGATGGATTCCTGTTCACTATGCACACATTCCTCTGAGGATGCTCCCCCACTATGCATAAAGTTGAAACTATGTAATTCAGATATGTTGGGTGCAAGGGCAAGGGGGTACATTTTCCATCACCATAATTCTGGGCCATGTCCCTATCTTCTGATTTCTCTCCCTCTCTCTTTTCAGTCCCAGGAAATACTGTAATATGAAGGCATCACTTTTCCATCACGAAGGGGTGCACGTCTTGTCTTTACTGGGCCAACAAAGCACCGAACAAACAAACAGAAAGTGAGAAAGTACAATAAAGTACAGAGTACAGTACGTCGCCAAGGCCACACTTCGTTGCTCCGTCGACGTCGGCGATGATGATGGATGGATGAATGGATGGATGGCCGTCCGTCCGTCCGTCCGTCGGTCCTCGGTCACTCTCACGCCTGACTGAGTTCGGCAACGGGGTTTGGGGCGGGGAATGAGAGAGGGGTTCTAGGGTTCGATGGCAGGACGAGGGCGCTGATTCCTTCGGGAATGCGTCAAGACTCGAGCACGAGCACGAAAAGAGTGCAGCGGATGATGCCGACGCGCGAGCTGGAGCTGGGCCCGAATAATGGCAATTCGCCCTCTCCATGCACATCTCGTGGACTTGCAGCTGTGACCGGGAGCTCGGTGACAGCTCTTTGACCCGCGCAGTGCGGGATCGCTGTTCGTCGGGATGCCGCTTGAAGCTCTTAGAAGGTGCGATTGCGTTTGGTTTTCGTTGCTCGATCGAGGGCGCCGAGTCCGGGCCGCGACTGGTTTTGTGGGCTTTCCTGTGAAGATGTGCTCGGATGGATAAAGGGATTTTGGCCATCGTGTTGCCTTTCCAAATTCGTGTACATGCCGATTGGGTTCCTTTGTTTTTGCTTGACGTGACACGTTTTGAATTTGAGCCGTTCTTTGGGGTCCTTGGAAGGAAATTTTCGGAGCGTTCTACGCTTCCCTTGTGATCCTTTGTGTGTTGGTCGTAATGGTCTTCGATTAGAGTCAGAGGGGAATTCTTTTTTGTTCGACTATCCATCCACTTGGAGAGTGCGGGTAATACTTGGGCTTCCACGTGCTGGACTTCGCTTTGAAGCGACGTAATAATATACAGCTCAGGCCTGTTTCGGGGTTTAAGATTTAAGGCACAGCGTTGGAGTGAATCTTTTCACTTGAAACTCGTGATCATCGACTCATGTGATCTGGTGGCGCTGTGAACAGATCAATTGTCGAGGAAGTCTTCAGTTTACGAAATGTGTAGCAAATTTTAGCGGTTTTGTTCATGAGCGGAGTCACTTGAATTTTGCTACACATTTTGTGAGGCCATCCATCATTTGAAGGGAGATTCTCGCAAGATGGTGAAACGGATGGGTGTGCGGCAAGTGCCGTGGCAGAGTTGGGCGCATTGGCAGTTCGTAGCCGACGGAATCTTTTCAGACAGTAACGATCGGATAGTCGCCGCGCAAAATCGAGTAAGTTTCTTGTGCTCGGTTCCACTTCCTTCGTTGTATTCCAGCCCCAGCATTCTGATCAGCTCACTTTTGTTCGGTGCATCTTATCGTAACTTATCTTCATTGTCCCTCCTCGGCAGATCAAAGCCTGGCAGAGCAGGGGTAACGTGCCGATTTCAGTGGAAACCACTGCTGCTCTAACGAGCATTCAACAACGTGATCCTCGTTTTAAGTGAGCACCTCGTCCTTTAGTTCTATAGTAAGTCCTTTTAGTTTCGGATGTTTTTGATGAATAGGTTACTTCAGCATTCTGGAGTCGTAGTGTATCCCATACCCACGAGTTTTTTTAATTGTAAAAATTATGTCCAACTCAAATTAACACATCGAACTGTTTCCATATTTCCAGTCATGATCTGCCTCTCGGAGGCGGTCTTCCTGATGATATGCTTCAGATGATGTATGCAATGGCGGTTCAAAGGTGAGGCCTCGATTTTCTCAACTCGATTTTTTGTCAAGTAGCTCGTGCATCGACATGTCAAGTTTTTGCTGTTTTTGAATGTTATGTTGCTGTTTCTAAAGGCTGGCCCTTGTCTTAAGATCAACGAGGCCACTCACACAATTTCTAGGGATTGCTTTTATTACATGTATACATGCTTACATGGTAGTCTGCTTGTACCATGCAGGACAGATGTAAGTGTGTGCTGAAGGCAGAAGTGTGAGTAATGTGATTTCGTGGTTGATTCGGAGCAGGCTTGTCAATGGAGTGGTTGATGTGTCTTCAAGGCGCAATATAAGCTCAGTTGCGACAAGAGCGGATTCAGCCGGCCTGCCCCGCCTACTGGTCGACATCCGTCATGGTACGTTTTTGCTTTTTGAAGTAAGTGCATCACAAACGTGACGATCACATCGACCAAATTCTTGGCAGTTTTCCTTGTTGGCAACCCAATTCAAGTACTAGTACTTTAAATACCTGACACTACGAAGCATTGACCTTTCTCGTGTGGAAATGTATTTTCTCCATTCGAAACTTTGCTCCGTTGTTGGACCTTAGTTCTTAAGGATTCAGTGCGCAATAAGTATTAGCGAGTTCGGAAAGAAAATTTTCCATTCATGTGAATATTTGCTGCTTTATTGGACCTATTCAGTATCAAGTGGACCATATTCTTGTTGAGTTTGGCAAGGAAACATGTCGTAAACTTTACACATGTTATATATCTGTTTCCACTATTTCGATATCACCGATGTAACTATTACTTGCGTCACATGCACAATGTCGTCTGGCTTATGCAGAAACGGCACATAATGAACTTCCCGGATTGCCTCTTCTGCAGTCAGCAAGCAAGCAGGTTGGGTGAAGCTTATTTACACGTTCCCCCTCCTTGTTAGAATCAATCTGATTGGGAAAGGTTTTTAGTAGGTCGATATATGGGCCTTACATGTGTTACCGTTTCCAGGCACTAGAATGGTTGAAGGTGCACTACTGGGACCAGCAGAGGCAATTGTTGGGAACCGCCCGTGAGCAGATTAAGAAGAAGCTCTTGGCACATTGTCAACTCGTCGTCGACATTTTGACACCAATCTCTCGACCAGATGAGGAGGGATCGGATGATGAGGGAGATGAGAATGCCAAACAACGGATGGTGAAAGTGATGAGAGCCATGCGGAACATTCATAAACACAATCTGGTTGTCATGAAGCAGGAGCGAGGAAAAATGTTTGAAGAGCTTATGGACCTTTGTCTTAGTTCCCTCTCGGATCTTGTCTCAATACTGGTAGATGACGGACTGCTGGAACAAGAAGTGTTGCCTGGCCAAGAAGATGATACTCGAGCGGAGAGTGACGGTGATTTTACCACAGGTTCGTTTGATTTGGCGGCTGCTACTTACACCGCATGGCGATACACCATCTGCAAACTCTCAAGTGGACTCCCTCGATTACCAGCAATGCTCTTAGTCGCTATCGTAAAACGAATTGGAACTAGTCGGCCGATTTCTGGACCGTCGCCAGATTCTTTGGGGGAAGGCGCTGGAGCAATCTCAGTAACAGCGGCACCAGCCGACAGCCCCAAAGAGAATGTCGGAGTCCCACATAACGCTTCAGGATTGAATCGACTAACAGCATGGTGTGCTTGGCTTCTGGGAACTGAAGGATCCGAAGCTTCTAACGAGTCAATTTCGCAGGAAGCAGTGAGGTCGAGGACTCTGGGTATAAATAGGCAGCTGAGTGTGAAGGCAGATTTGAACGAAGACCTCTGTCGTGAGCTACTGCGATCTTCTCTGTACTTGTCAACCGAGAGGGGTCCGCAGGTTGAATTGGTTTCGTTGATCGCATTGAAAGTCGGCAGCAAGAAATTGCAACAGCAGGCACTTATGCTCGCCCATTTCGGTTCGACCATGCGAAGAGTTTCTGATGTCAGCCACGAAAATAATGATGACATGGAGACTGACTCAGTGCTCGCCTCCGGGGTTGCATCCAAGCCAGCAGCTTCTGCAGGTCTGCCTGCAGGAGGAGAAACACCAGGTCCAGATCAGTCTGAGCAACGAGAGCGGGCTACAACCGCAAGCCATCTCGATGCTTCGAACTACGAAGCGGTGAAGAGGCAGCAGCAAGAGTTTTTTACCAAAATTGTATTAGAAAGGAAAGCCGGGAGGAGGTTAAGCCTACCCTCTGAAGATGAAGAAGAGAATGAAGAGTCCAGGTCTCCTATGGACGGAGATGGACGTAAGTCATTTAAGCCAAGCATTGTGGCCCAGGCTGGAGGTCGCCTGGGAAGGAAGTGGACTGTAGCTGAAAATTGGAGACCGTGTGCTCTTGGTATGATTCCTTCTCCTTACAATATTATCGGGGTATTGCCTTCACTTGAATTCCGGTTACCAGAGGCAGACACTACCATGTCGGTGGGACACGCAAAAATGCCGGATTTCTCTAGTAAGCAGCTGTGGGAAGTTCCTGTGGAGGATACGGCTGAGGACAGAGTAGCTGATTGTGATACAAAGGCTTCTCTGCTAACCAGCGTGATGAAGAGGAAAAGCGACGGCGAGCCGAGCTCACTGATGGCGGAAAAGCGTGCAAAGAAAGCTGATCGCCATGTACAGTTCAGTGGGGTGGATGATGAGAAAAGGACGTGTATACAGTCATCACCCATGAAGCGGATTCGGGCGAGTGCGACACAGGGTTTTAGGGCAGAGCATTTGCCGAGAGGATCTCTGTTGCAAGGCTGTTTGCGTCAGCACGGGCAGTTGATGCACTTTTCTCCCCAACAGTTAGAATCACTGAAAGCCGCGGTCCATGTCCTTTAATGCGGCCCTTATCTTGTAATTTATCCATGAGCTGGAGAGAAATTTTGTTGGTACATCTCTACAAGTAGAACATCTGAGATAAACCTCATACTTGGGCCTTTGCGTTGTGCGAAGCAGCTGAGAAGTAGAGAGACTGGACGTACGAAGAAATAGGTTTAGTTTAAAAGGTGGGCTTTAGCTTTAGCCCGGTCTTCAATTTTCACAATCATTGTCGGGTTGACACGGACTATCAAAGGTTCTGTATAAGAGATATCCTGGACCAATGTGCAGAAAACATGCCATTTTGAAGCTTTGTGCTGATTTGGAGTTTGGGCATGAAATTTGCATTAGTATTTTGCATAAGTTTGTATTAGAGTGGACATAACTTTTTTGCAAGTGGTTTCCGTCTGAACTAATTTGTACTTAATCGTATACTGTATGCGTATAGTTTTCCTGAGATGTCATATTAACCATGAAGTGGGTTTGAAGTAAAAGGCATAATGTTACGAGTTGGAAATTATAAACAACTTAACTTTTACGAGAGATTTGCTTGATGGGACCCCAGGTTTTGTTTTACCCCATGGGACCCTAACGACGGTGTGCCGTCGGACATAGTTCTTGTAACTATGATTACTACTAGTTACAATGCGGGGATTACAATCAGAGATCAATCTGGTGGATTATCACAGAGACAAAGATCGATTTTGCTCTAAATGCAATTTGTTGTGCTTCAATTCTTCGTGGATTTCTCTGTTGCCTCCCACTTGCACTCTCCTTCCGTAACCCTGCATATGCGACGAGAAGCTCGTACCGGAAAGTGGTCGAGACTTGAACTCGCGATCACCCAAATCTGGCAAACAAATAAACTCCGGATGGACATTTTGTTCGTCTCCTGAGGGAATGGTCGGATACAGAATGACAACATAAAAACAAGTGAGTGTGATGGGGCGCGAAGTCCACTCTGTACGCGGGTGAGATTTACTCGTTGCATTCTCTCTAATTTTATAAGAACATGGGTAACGGTGCATCGTTCATGGGGTCCCATCGGGTAAAATGAAACTTTAAGGGTCCCATCAAGCAAATTACTTTCGTTCATGGGGTCCCATCGGGTAAAATGAAACTTTAAGGGTCCCATCAAGCAAATTACTTTCCGCAGCGGTCCCATCAAGCAAATCTCTCTAACTTTTTCTGGAGTAAGCCACGTCAGTGCACTTGAGTTTGAAAGCTGATATACACTAAATATTACTTGTAGGAATGAAGGTATAGGACGGAAGCGAACACGTGGTTTAGTAAATTCCCTTCAAGAAGTCTTACTCACAATGTATTCATTCTTCATCTTGAAGTACTGTCCTCAAGTAATCCAAGTACATTTATGGGAATAGTGCGTATGACACTACATGTTTGGTTCGAGCTATACCTTCCTGTTGAAGGGATCGTACAAGCAACACAATCTACTAAAAGCTTAAATGGAATTACAAACAATGGACAAAGTGGACTGCTCTCTGCTGTATTGCACAGTTTTGACAACCATCAGTTTTCCATTGTTCTAATATTGACAATACTGTTTGACCCACATGAGAATCATGAAACATCTAATTCGTAGGATCTCGGAGATCTTTGAGTGCAATCATGTTTGCTAATACGTGAAGTTTAAATGACGAAATACTGCGACATCACTTGAATATTACTTTTCTGATGCAACATCTGAACATAATTGAACCAAAGTAATGAGGAAGAGAGTTGAAAGAGAAGTTCAACGATCAATAAACCTCTTTGCTATCAAAGAGTGCAAAGGATAGAATTTACTTGAGGTAGTCACTTAATATCAGAACTGGATACGATTTATGGTAGCGGCTACTTATACTTCAATTTATGTTAATTATCCTTCAATCTTCTGGGTTGCAAATATGTTTTTGCTTATATACCAACACCATATTCGCGTTTGGAAATAGTGTGTCTACCACGTCTATTGACGTAAATTTCAGATCCATGACAAAAGTTAATAGGAATAACATTACATAATTTCAATCTTGCTAATCTTACGCATGTAATCTTCTCCCGCCGCAAATATCAATAGGCAAAAGTGTTTGCGATCATAGAAAAAATAAACTTGTAGGTTGATGGATTTCTAGTTGCTCTATAATTTAGAAAATTTAAATTATTAAAATACATAAATTCTTTTATTAATTCTATCTTATTTTTATGTTATTTTGAATATTTTTTCCAAAAATGTAATTGATGAAGATATTACATGATATTGGAATTATTCCTAGTAATGTGCAAAAGTGAACTTTATTAAATGTTTCTTGAAACTTGTGAAGCTTATATACAACAAAGATATTCAAAAATTTACATAATATTTTTATACAAATTCTCTTAAAAAATGATATTATCGTTATGAATAAGTAGAATATTTGTGAAGTTAATATAAGATGACTTTGAAAATCACATTTTTGCAAACACAAAATTTGCATACAGTCAATTACATGAGTTTTCAAATTCATTACCCTATCTCAACGTACTCTACAGGAGTAAATGCATAGTATTGTTCTTACGGTCGGAAATGTGGTAGCGAAAAGTTGACACTGATAATTTTGAATTTTAATTGAAAAGTTGACACTGATAATTTTGAATTTTAATTGACAATGATAGCCACATCTGAAATGCCATTACAGACGTGTTATATTCGTAGTTTATTGCCTTGCACGAAAAACCCTAACTTCAAAGCAAGTTCTGTAATGAGAGTTAATTCTCTACTTTCGTTTCTCTGAAATAAGATGGCAAACTGAACATCCACATTCAAACACAAGTTGTAAATCATCGAACACGTCAGTTGCTGTGATTGTCTCGAGGGTATTTCGCAATATAACGAAAGCCAGAGTTAATTGGTAAGCGATGACATTTGACATTTAATTGCATTATCCGCTTTTCTGGTGTGAGCAAAACCCAAAGATTACTAACACAGTTATGCCCGAAGTTAGAGTCCAATGACGTGCCACACCTTTCGAGAAGACGTAATTACGAAATTACTTCTCATGTGGAGGTTCAAGGAACACTAGCAACATTTAAAAGACCAGCAACCCAACGGTTCCGTGTAGCTATGTAGCTAGCTAAAGACAAGTTGACTACTACGACGGACAGAAGTGTCGGTCAGGTTTGCTACAAAGTGTGCACAGCATGTCAAGTGACAACAAGACTGACAATTTCAACAGTGCTCCGTCAATTGACCTCTTTATATTTACAACGAGAGCCGTTAACAATCTCAACATTTGTTCAGAGCCTTGATAAAGATAATTCTACGTTACAATTGAAGATGTCAAAATTTCTCGCGGCAACGCCTACATCTTTCATGGAAGAAAAATACTGCCCCGTGTCAGATCTCACACGTTCATCAACCGCTACTAAATCAAGTATTGCTCGCAATGAGCAACTAGTTCCACCAAGAAGGAATAAAATTGTGAGTATAGTCACGATCCCACTCGGGACCCATCTTCGTGTAATAAACTTCAAATGAAGGAGTCCATTACTAAACCTTTGACGACACCCACTTCTTCTTACCACTATTAGCCCTGTCCGAAGGCTTGGCCTTCTTGGCTTTTACGGAAGAGGAACTTCTGCTGGCCTTTTGTTCTTTGACTACCTTCTTTTGCTCGGCATCCGTTCGCTCACCATCCGCGTCGATAGCTTGATCAAACTCCTCCTCCGTGATAAGCCCTTTCTTCAATTTCTTCAACATCCTGTAATCATTCTCCATATCGTCCTGATCTCTTCTCGATTGATCAAGTTGCCGCTTTTTGCTATTCTTCTTTCTATCTACGTTGGTAGGTGTCAATACAGGTCTTTTCTGCTTGTGGCCGTTCTCTTCTGGTTCTTTGATTGTTTCCTTCTTGATTGACAAGTTCTTCATTCGCTGCTTCTCTCGAGCCTTATCCCTGACAAGATATCAAACATACATTAAAGGTAAATTGCGGAGTCCAAACTGAAACATTTTGTTAACAATGATCTCTACTAATAATTAGCATCGTTTATCTGAAGTTGCTCGTACAATTCAAAGCGAAGAATGCAAGTGTATATATGTATCATTCTAGCTTGTAGGATAAAAAACATGAATACAATTACTCTTACTTGTATTTTATTTTGTCAATATCCACTCCCTCCATCGGTACAAAGAACTCGGGTGTCAGTACACCCCGTCTTAGCTCGGGCATCGATGGCAATTGCAACAAGCCATAGCCCATTCCCACTTTACCAAGCTCCAATTGCTTCCACCTGTTTTTTAAGGAATACGCAAAATTGGCTTAGAAATTTATACGACCATGAACTTTAGACAACACGTACAACACACTCTAGACGTCAAATCTAGTTGCTTGTGTGATTGATCGTTACCTGCATATGTAACTGCATTGATGTTCCTTGTAAGCACGCACGTAAGAAACAAATGCTTTTACACCTTTCTCCATTAAGTCTCTATCTTCTTTCGCTGCTGCACGTAACTGCATCGTCAATCATTCACGGCATCAAGAATGCGGCTTGGACTTTTAGCCTGAACGTTTATCATGCTCTAATCGAGACAGCACATCTGAATAGAAAACGAGTGCTTACCAGGGGAATAATTTCTAAGTTTATTTCGGGTAGAGATAGCTCCTCTATAGGTACACGGCGGACTCGTAGAAACTCCGCGTATGCATCTTCCTGCAAAAGGGTGGATAGAGACGAGGTAAATGCGAGGACAAAATGCAATAAAATAGGAGCCAAAGCTGTCTTGGAGGAACTATTTGAACTCTCAATTTAGGAGAGGTTCACCTTGGGTAGGAGATACACAAGAGCATTGCCGGATCGACCCATTCGAGCCGTGCGGCCCACCCGATGGACGAACACATTCGGATCTTGAGGTGGGTCATACTGCACATCATTGGAAAAAATGATCAAACCAGCGGTGCTTTCGCATCCAGGATATCAAACCTACCGAACTTCATTAAATACATCCCCAACTTCCAGCGTTACCAAACCAACATTAGGAGGAGCATTTTCACACGTATAAGGTTGGATTACATACTCGGTATGACTAACTGGGTGTGCTCAAAGACAATTCAAGATAGATGTGATTATCACTCTTTTGCGGACTTAGGTGTAGAAAATTAGTAACATACCTGAATGATCCAGTCAACGCCTGGGATGTCCAGGCCACGGGCGGCAACGTCCGTGCAGAAGAGAACACTTGCTGGCAAATCAGCAAAAGTGGCCAAGGCTTTCTCTCGAGCTGACTAAAAACACACAAACGATTGATTACAAACTTCCAGCAAAAACGGTGATGAGTGAGAAGAATGTGGAGAAGAAAGAAAGGACAGCACTAACTAAAAGGAATGACTCTCCTAATTGTGGTTTCTTCCTAAAGATGACGGTGGTGCGGAGCAGATGTAAACCAAAAAACCCTTTACATCATCATACACCCTAAACCCATAAAGTGGTGGACTGAGCGACCGCGTTGGGCTTGAACCCAGGCTTCGTCCTTTCGTAAACACTTCTTAGTTCAACCGGCTTGAGGTGCATTAAGTTCACACAGTCTGTGGCTACGTTCATCATTGCGATTGAAAAGTGCGATCAATTTCAATGCCTATACTAGGATAATAAGAATGCTGAAGCTCACTGAGTTCCCGTCCGATACTCCTTCTGATTCAGGTGAATAGCACCTGTCCAAAATGCAAAATTTCTCCCTTTGTTCAATATGACATTCCCTTACGGTAAGTTTTTTAATTTTTAGATTTAGGACACAGAGAAAATAGATTTATGAATTATGTGCCGCTACCCCTGATGCGTTGCGTTGAGATCTAAGTCACTGCCTTCATCACTAGGTTTCTACGTCTGCCTTATCTTGTTCCAACACCTGAGTTCAGAGGAGTGCTAGATCAACCGTCTCCTGATACTGCTTCAGCGAAGGTTTGACGGTCTTACATCCATTCATGCTGGCCCAGGTGGCCTGATAAAAGTCGAAGGTAACGACTAAGTAGAAGTCATGAGATGCAGGAGAAATTCATATGCTTATTTGATACAATACCTGCTTCATCTTGCCATGCAAAGAAATAATGGACAATGTCTTCATCATTTTCAGCTGAGGGAGCACAGTTCCCCAGTAGTCCACACATGCGCATGTCATGAAGTATCTGTCATAAAAACGTCAAGTGAGATAACCAGACCCATAGAAAAAAATCTGAGATAAATATAGAGACACTAACCATCCCATGACATAGTAATACGAAATGTTTCGGTTACAGCTACTTACACAATGATTTTACTTGAGGCATGTTCAAGAAGAAAGTTCACCAGTTGCGCAGGTTTGGCATCCGGATCAACAATTGAGTACTGTAATAATACGAAGAGAATTAGTTATAACAGGAATGTAACATTTCTATCGAAGGGACCACATACACTACCAAGCAGATGAAATTAAGGAAACATCTCTAGCTAGTCAACTACTTACTATTCAATTGCAAATGGCATAACTAACACATGACATGTCGCAAAGGTCTCTAAATTTTGAACGTAACGTTATTCGTTTCCTTCTTCTCCTTCAAACTTACACATACGAGTCAAGACTTCACTAGGCTGGCAATTGTATGCTTGAAGCGACTACGAGAATGCGATGTCAACGAGCTATTATAATTTCGTGCAATCCAATTACCGGGATGCCATCAACGCAATGTAGTCGAGCTTCAAAAGTTACCTGAATTGTAAGACCTGCAGGTGTTCTTGGACATTCAGGACCTTTGCCAGCCGTTTTTGTTTCAACTCGGACCTCTACCCTGACAGGATTCCTCAGACCGGCTTTGGCAAGCTCCTCAACGGCTTGGGTCTGAGTAGCAGAAAAAAGGCCCGTCCTGCGTAGCTTTGGAAGGCGAGCAATGATGACGGACAGTTGACGCTTGAATCCCATGTCTAGAAGCCTATCCGCCTCGTCAAGGATCAGCACCTGAACAAACACATCTCGTTGGTAACATACAAAACACAAAGCCCGCAAAAGTCCAAATTCAGATAGTGGGCGAGATTTACCTCGAAGTTTTTCAAGTCTAGAAACGAAGCTCGGTCCAGAATATCTTCAATTCGACCAGGCGTTCCAATCAGCAAATTTGCTCCATTCTGCTTCAAATTGGCTATGTCTGCCGAAACGTCAGTTCCTCCGACTAGTAAAGCTGCCTCATACTTGGGAAGTGTGTCCATGAACGGCTGCGCTACCTGAAATATTTGTGATGCCAGCTCTCGCGTCGGAGAAATGACAATCGCGCCTACCTGATGGATCATATCGTCAAACGTACGGAGTCAGGCACAACAAGGATGAAGATCAACGAAAGGCACTCTGCCTCCCTGAGGTCTGCGAAAATCCCCGGCCTCATTTCTGCGACGCTAACTACAACATTGTCGAGAAATACCTGATTCTTCTTCAGAGGATCCGAGAGTCCTCGTAATTTCTCCACTATAGGAACTATAAATGCAAGAGTTTTCCCGGAACCAGTGGCAGCATCGACGGACACATCCTTGAAACTGCACAGCAATGGGATAGTCGCCACTTGAACTGGGGTAGCCGTGATAAACCCCTGCGCATCCAAAACAGCCAAGGACTCCTCCGATAACGCTGGATTCAAATCCCTGAACCGAGTACCCTTCATGGCGACCCTCGTCTCGCCAAATTCACCGGTGCCCGACACTCCTTCCCTCCGTCCGACCACCAAATCCTGGCACCATCCACAATCTCCACGGGCTTAAACCCGCACCCGAACTCGAGACTTCTGCAATCGACTTACAGACCGAAGATCTGCTCCGAGCTTCGCTCATTCAGACGCAGCCGCTACCGAACGAGAGAGCCGCGCCCCTGGCGCCGGGCAGGGCAGAGTAGGGCGCTCGAGCTTCAGGGAACTGAGGGACAACGCAAGGGACTGGCAGTACAGTGCGAATGCTTCCGGTTCCCGCACACACCATGAACATACCACGTGCGGTCGACTCTTTTCTAATTGCAAGGATTTTCAGTTAGAGAGGTGTGCACTCAAATAAGTTGGTTAAACCTCTGTAAGCTTAGTACCTTCCGTAGAAGAAAATAAATCACAAACATCTCTCGACACGGAATTCCCTACAACTGGCTCGTTCCGAAGCCTTCAGTGATATTTTTACTTTTCATTGCGCGCACATTTGCACTCCGCTTCGTCTGTTGCGACCTCGGGATTATAGCGAATTTCTGCTGTATTTTTATTTCGGGAGTAGCTAGCGCCTCGGCCTGAACACTGACCGAGTTTACTGAGGTGCACTTCTCGGGCCGCAGTTAGAGTCGACTGCAGTATTCATCGAGATTCTACTGTGGTTCTGCATTTTTGCTCTAAGGCTTAGTTTCATGCCTACGGTACTCAGGGATTTCAACATTCGAGCATTCTGCTGAAGACAACGGAAGTATTCGTACTGTACTTCAACCATCAGCATCAGTATTTTATTCTAAGAGATGTATTACATATTGCTATTATATTTGTTGGTCCAAACAGGTGAACATTAGTCTCCAAAAGAAAATACATGTGAACTTGCTTGGTGGAGCCTATAGCTCGGGAAGTAACATACAAATGGTGGAGCCCATAATATACACACGTTGAAAGTGATATATATTGTCAAGAATGGGTCGAAATATCAGGTGCTATATAAGGTATGCTATGGGACGTAGACCAATTTCACCCATTTGATGCGGTCTTTGCATACTTTTTGGCTATGCTACGTCACCGTGTCACTAGAGCCAAGTAAGCAGAGAGCTGGATCGATGACGGCGACGGCGATGTGACTTGATTGTCATGGATGCACAAGACTTGACTGGACTCGACGGTGGACTTCGAGCCGTCGATGTGTGAACGGTTCGCCGTAGTGCAGCCCGAACTGACAGTTTGTCGGCCTTTCTCGCAAGTGGGAATCCTCCTCCCGCTTTCTGGCGCTGAATGATTTCTCGTTCTGTCACTCTGGAGCTCGGTCTGGAGGAGACCGTGAGTCTCGGGAATGCCTAGAGCTGCAGAAATGCCAGTGGTTCATCATCGCAGCAGGAGGAGCAGTGGGCGATTCGGCAGGATTTTCAGTCGTTGAGAAAGGCCTGTAGCTTCGGTTTCTTGTGGTGGGTGGCCCCATTTTACAGGAGGAAGGAGGAGCGCAGGCAAGCGTCTATGACAGGGGTGATGATGAGTGAAATGTGTTCGGTGCGAGGAGCTGGCGATGGAAGTAGAGGAGACGGGAAGAGAAGGAGGCTTGTCCAGAGCGGGGTGGATTGTAATTGTGGCCGTTAGTTGTTTGTGAGAAGGTTTTTTTTTGTTTTTCTTTTTCTTTTTCTTCATGTTGATCATCGAGGCTCGAGGCTTTACGGAGTGCTCAAGTCCAGAGGCCACACCGATGTGAGTTCTTCTGCATTGTTTATTTTTCCGCGGAGACTGCAGACGCGAGGACTTTCTTCTTGCTTCTTCTTCAGATACCCGGCTTCTTTGCACACAGACGAGGTGTGTCAAGCTGTCAAATTAGCCATCAAATTTCGAACTGATTCCCGCACGTTAAGAAAGAAAGTATTGGCACAGTGGTATTAGGGTAATATTGATATCAGTGATCGAGGCCTTATGGTCCAACTCCTCTCCGACGTGATTATCTTTGGCCTCTTTGAACCAGGGTAATTGAGTACATAATATGTCATTTTACCAGCCGATCGCATGCACGCAAGCTCTTGTCGAAGCTCCTGTAGTAAATTAACAGTATTTCGGTGCAGTTGAGTATGGAGCGACAATCTTCTTCTTATTTTTGTGGCTGCCCATTTATCGAGAAATCTTCACGGAAGTAGTTGCACATTCATTCTACACGATTGGAGATAGCGTAGGTAAAAGAGGAAAACCAAAGTTTTACAGAAATTCAGTACCTGACCGCCGAGACATCGTATTCTAAAACGGGATGCTGTTTGGAGGACCTATTCGAAGATGTTAGCTTTAGTTGGCAAGCGCAAGCTTCCTGAGGCAGAGGAGTGAACCCCCTGGTTCTAGTTTACAGGGACCACCAGGAGCTTATCAAGAGCATCTTTAAGCAATCTTCGAAGTGATAAAACTCGAAGTCCTTTTCGAATGCAATCTCGGGCAAATATTTGCAGGCAAGCCACCCATCTTGCGAATCCACTCCTTGGGTTTTTTAAACTTTCAGTAATATTTACGGCAGGAGAACTGCTGCCAGGCGTTAAGAACGTGATCAAAGTGTTGACATGACTGTTACGAGGACGACGCAAGATTTAGAAGAGAAGGCCGGAAGAGCGCTAGTTTGCGGAAGTTTTCACTATCAGGCCTCTCAAGGATCCCCACTGTATTGGAAAAGGGAAGGGACTCCAAGTCTATAAGAAGCGATTTGCGAAGCTTCAAGTTTCTACTCTTGGCCCCTGGTCAAGACCCGCCAACAGATATTCATTTCGGGACTTTTGCGAAGAACGATGGCAGGGGAGTTCGGGTCTTCTGTTTTCCGGTTGCTGCCAGCAGTAGGCCCCCGTAAGATTGTTCATTGATAACCTCTTCTATCGTTTCCCACATGGCTGTAGCCTTAGACTTCGATCTCAAGTGTATTCGAATTTTTCGACTGTTTTGCTCCAATCAAACTTTCTTTCACTTCGTCTGCATATCTTATGCTACAGGCTGTGTTGCTTATCCGGGTCAAATTGATTTTAATTTCTTGCAAGCTGCAAGGCATCTTCAGTCTTTTTCTCTTCACAGTGGAGGCTGAAGTCTTATTTGCAGCAAGATTTTTGTCGGTGTTGAATTGTAGTCTCAGTTGACGTCGTTTACAGTACGTGGTTTACGACGTGGGTCGGTGTAGCAAGCAGCATTCATTGCTTAGAAGAGTAGAGGAATACTGGAGCATTTGCTGAATTGGGTGGAGTTGTAGACCTAATGTGAAAAACGTACCGTTCTGCACGTTTGCTGTGCAATTGTTAAGCTGTGGTCTTTCTTTCTTTTCAACACCACCTAGTTTTCTTTGCTTTTGAAAGTTCTTCCTCATCGTATTGTGTCTTGTGTAAATGCAGGACAACGGGAGCTGACAGGTGCTGTGGATCTTGTCAACCACTATGGCTTGCAAGATCTGTATAGTCATTTTTGTAAAACGTCTTTACCTGTCTCCATAGCAGATTCTCCATATCTGCAGCAAGTAGTTGGAGACACCGAAATACGCAGAGGAGAGGGAATGGAACTGGGTCAGCTGGTAGATACAGCTGACCAATCTTTCAACCAATCTGTCACAATACAAACTTTGGATCTGCAGTTGTTGCAATGGGCTTTCACCTTGCAGGAGAATCGACCAATACAACTGGCGGAGGTGCGTCTTCTAGTCATGATATGGGTCTTTGTCTCAAATTTGTTACTTTCGCTAGTCAGATAAGAAATCTGCAAACTCGCTTCGAGTTATCGAGTTTGCAATTATTCACCAAGGCTTTGATTTGTGGACGGAGGAACTAGTTCTTCTCTTGGCGTGCAATAAGCTTAGAAGTTTTGTTTTTTGTTTGTTCTGCTAAATGCTAACTTCCGTTTGTTTGTTCTGCTAATCTTGCTTCGATCTGCGCAATTTGTTTCGAAACTTCCTGGGTCATACCTTATTTGCCATAATTAGCTTCGATTAGGCGGACTTCGTCATGTTGCGATGAAATCTGTTGAGGCTTGACTATTGCTTTTCGGTTTCTGCTTTCAGGCTGATAAAGGCCTTCCAACAATCAGTGGAAATGTGAAAGATGATAAGGACAGAAGGCACAAGAAGAAACACAAAAAGCATAAGCACCGGGACAAGGACAAGGATAAGGACAAGGACAAAGATAAGAAAAGGGACAAAAAAGACAAAGAAAGAGATCCTGTTAAAGGAGAGAATGGCGATGATCGATCTAAAAAGCACCGGAAAAAGGTACGGAGGGTTTCCATTCTATCTATCTATTTCCTTCTACTCTTATGCAACGAGATTCACGCTTTAGAGCTGGAAGCTCCATGACATGCTCATTTTTCCGTGCTTTGTGCACGCAGTCTAAGAGGAAACACGAGGGTGCCGAAGAAGAAGGAGATGGTCACAAACACAAGAAGAAGAAGGTACGCATGTTGTTGGGTCATTACTTTTGTAGTAAATATACCTGCAGTTATTGCTTCAATATTCTCTGCCTTTTCCTCGACCACAGTTTTTTTCTTACTTTTGACTGATTAATAAAATCGTTTTACAACTGTTTGTCTCAGCATAAGCACTCTACGAAAGTTGATGGCTCGGGAGCAATGAAGAACGGGAAGTAACTTCTTGATGGCCTTTAGTATGAGTAGCTGTTGTACAGTATTTTAACTTTTACCTGTGACGTTATTGTTCCATCTGATTGGTTTCAACCACCCAAGATGTAATCCATTCTTACTCCATGTTTTGTTCCACTATTTGAGCCTACTAAATTTAAAAGTCTGGTATACACCGAATTCTTCGCACATGTGAAATAGATCAATTCTTCTTCAATTATCACGAAATGATTTCGAAACGCTTGCTTTCTTCTCTAGATTGTGACTTTTCAGCAGAACCAGTTTCTTAGTTTATTTGTGTCTACTCAACTATCCTTTGAACAATTAAATCATGAGAAGACTCCACAGAAGGAAATGCTTGTATGTGGATTACGTATTGAGCTGGATGCTCCCTAAGTTGGTGTCTGATTGAAATGACACCTATGCATTTTTCCGTTCGAATGCGGAGTTAAATACCTTTAACTTCACCGTTGTGTGCAAGGTCTAACGATGTTCCTCTGCAACATGGTTTGCGTCCATGAGACTTGCTTAACTGCGTGCTTGTGTGTTCTCAGATTTATTTGAATTCCACTCACCATTGGATGAAATCCATAACCTGAACAAAACGGAACCATGTCCGAACACCGTAGTATGATCATGTCTAAAATCTCCTTGAAGCGTCCTATTACCTACTGCATTAATCTTTTTCAATAGAGATATCTGCAAACAGTATAGCGTGTGATTTTAGCATTCGGAAATGTCTCTGTCTGGGTGTACAAAATGGGAAGGTGATTCATATGTAAGCCTCAAAAGTTTTGAATGCGAAAGTTTATGTGTTCTCGTCAGATGTGTACCGGACTACTCCGCAGTTATGCTCGCAATCTTCTTGAGTACAATTGAGAAAGGTTTTGAACGGAGGTGAGTAAATATGTGCGATAAACCCAGAAGGCAATTTAGAAAAAATATCCATAAGTTAAAGAGTGTAGCTGAATGAGACGTGGGTAAAGAATGTGACAGAAGAAAGGGAGGGAGTGTTAAAACGAGAGGGTCAGACATCCGACAAAGAAAGTAGTAAATGACAGCACCACTTGCTATATGTTTGGGTAAGAAGCGAGATCAGTCGTTGAAAGTTCTTATATTTTGTCGAATGTACAGCTATTTCAAAAGAATCCTCGATGTTGTGTCCAAATTTGAAGATAAACTACCACTGACTGTCTGGTAGAGAAAGCTGTAAACCCAAGAGGTGAGGTTGGGTTCAGCTTCAATAAACAATGTTATTCTCCCGTCAAATGATACTCTATATTCCGACTCATCAATGTTTAAACGGTTGGAATAGAGGTCAATAGTATACCGAGGTAAGTGAAGAAAGGGAAAGTAGGTGCAGGTATTTAAATCCCCAAAACCAACAGAAATGAGAGTTCACACACAAACCAACACAAGAATTTGTTGAAGAGGTTGAGTTGAAAAGACTAGTCGGTGTGAACTACTCAATGAAGGAAGTTTGAGTATATAATCAAGATCAATGTTGTCGGACTTTTACTTCTCACCATCTTTATAAAATTGAAGTATTGTGACAAATACACAAGAAGACAATCACTCATTTTTCTGGAGCAAGACCAACCCTTCTTCAAAGATGATTCTCTCTCAATGTGTTTTCCGATTCTCACTCTCGAGTTTTCTTGAAATCCCCTAACTGAAATAGATCTTTTAATCTGTTAGCTAACTTTAAATCACCTTGACTTATAACAGAAAAATATCATAATGAATCCAGTTAGTCAATTCCTATATAGCCCATCGGATATTGACATATTAGCGAGTTGATTACTAGATGACAAAAAACTCTAAAGAAAAAAACATGTAACTGAAGTTGATATCTCAAGATCTCTACCTCGATATTTAGAGTCTTCACTAATTCATTGTTCGATTCTGTTGAGTCACGTTGCATCAACTGAGAAAAACTTCTGACATAATCAAAACTTCCCAAGAGTTATCACTTTCGTGCCACCGTCTCTCAAGTTGTCCTCTGTGATGATTTTTGCAATGTTGATGTCGCCATTGGTGATCTTTTTCCGACGGCTGATTGTAACCATCTTTAGTTAGTTAGAACTAAAGTAGAGGTTACTCTGAATATTGATGTAGATACTTTAGTGTGCACTAGTCATAGCTGCCACGTCAGCGATCCGCGCACTTGGTAGGTACAGAGTGGATGTGTTAGTTGACAGTGCCACGTCAGCAATCCGTGTGCTTGTAGCTAAGGATTGAGTGTGTTAGTTAGTGTGTTAGTTAGGTGCGCCACGTCAGCGATCCGTGTGCTTGTTAGGGTTATCCGCCACGTCATCCATCCACTATGAGAGGTATGGATGGTGGGGATTAGATCTTATCACCTTGTACTTGTTGGTGAGAGCTATATAAGGGAGAGGATAACCATTGTTGGTATCTCTCATCTTCAGAGTTTACGTTTCTATCTTCGAGTGAACTTCTCTCTAAACCCTAGTGTTACAATGGTATCAGAGCGACCTTGCTCTTTCCTTGAGTGTGGATTACCCCTCATGGAATAGCAAGTGAGTGATGATGGAGTGTAGTCTTGAGAGTGTATAGAGGCTGGCAGAGGTCATTCATCTGCATGTAGAGAGAGGTGGAAGGGGGACATTGTGTTTTTGCAGATATGGACGGGATTGACAGGAATCCAGTACCGCACTGGCCAATTCCTAACCTATTCGATATTCACCTTCGTTGCATGGAGAAACATCATTTTCGGATGTACCTTGTGGCTTGTTGGGGTGCAGATTTTATGACTAGAGTGATGGAGTCAAGAGTGCCACTGATTCTTCCAATAGTTACTTATGGAGAGACTTGGGATTGTACTATATACATTCTATACTGATTGTTTCATGGATTTGAATCGCGAACCACCTGTCCCGGTTCGATTCAGCACTTATGTAGAGATTAGAACAGTATATAGACAGAAGAGGATATGGAGAGATTTTCTTGTGAGGAATTATGGAGAGGAGTACTATAGAGCTGTGATAGAGTCACCTGCACCTTTTGTGACTCCTTTGTTGAGAGGTCACATAGTGATTATACTCACTTTGTATTAGAGGGAGTGTGAAAAAGCATGGGAACATCAATTGATATGGGTGAGGTTCTCAATGCAATCATGGCAGAGATGAAGGAGTTGAGAAAAGCGATAGTAGATGGGCATACCAAGCAGCAAGCCATGGAAGATAAAATCTTTGCATTAGAGAGTGAGAAAGTAGAGAGAGAGAGAGTTGGAGAGATGGAAGTTGAACCTCAAGTTCAAGCTTCCCAAGTTCAGCCAGAACCAACTCCTATTGATGCAGCAGAGGCAAATAGGAGACGTCTTCAAGAGATTGAAGATCAAGCAAATCTTTTGCTTCGAATGGGAAAATCCTGTAAGGTGGAAGCTTACAAAGGGAGTAGAGCAATGGGAGTGTTAGAGGGATGGATTATGAGGATGAATATTCATTTATCCCATTTTCATGTTTCTGATTATATTGCAGGAATGTTCATGAGATCTTATCTTACGGATAAGGCTCTCACATGGTACACAACATGGGAGAGAATGCTTTCAGAACGAGGTGCTACCATTTCGTGGAGTGGAATGCAGGAAGGACTTCTGCAAAATTTTCAAGCGGTGGATTCTCTTCAAACTGCAAGAATGAAGTTGTGGGATCTGAAGCAGAAAGGAGGTATTCATGAGTACATTGAAGAATTTCGTGATCTTCAAGTATCTATCATGGATATGAGTGGAGCTGAAGCCTTGGACGTGTTCAAACGAGGCTTGAAAGATCGAATTCGAAAGGAGGTGATGGTAAGCAATCCATCTACTGTGAATGAAGCAATCGCAATTGCTCAACGAATTTCAGGTGCTTTTGGTGTCACACACGGTGAGCCAGTGAGCAATTTTAGAGATCCATCTGGTCCAACACCGATGGAGTTGGGAAACCTTCGACGTAGAGAAGGTTTTGCACCAACAAGAGGACCACCACCAAGATTTGGAGGTGAGATTAGGCGACCAGGAGTTCCAAATTTGCAAGAAGGTTATGCAAATAATGGAATGGTTCGAGGAGGAGCTGGAGTTCGTGACAATCGCCAATGCTATGCATGTGGACGAATGGGCCACATAGCCAAGTTTTGTCGAGTTCGGCCGACACAACAAGGAGGACGGCCCATGCAGCGACGACCGTTCAACAATATGGAGGGGATAGAGTATGAAGAGGTGGAGGAAGCAGTTTCGGGAAACGAAGATCACCAGTAATCTTGCCTCGCGGCCTTACTGGTTCTACAAAGCGAAGAAAAGGCGAGGTTGGAAGAAAGCAATGGTTGGGAGCTCATGGAAGGAGTAAGAAGCAAGCTCAACTCATTGTCACTGATGGTTTCATGGAAGGACACAAGGTGAGAGTTTTAATTGATCCTGGAGCAACTGAGAATTTTCTATCAAGGAGTGTTGCTATGAAGTTAGGTTTGATGTTGATGAAGGACGTGAGTGAAGAAGTTGAATTGCCAAACGGGCAAACTGAAGTGATAGAAACACTACCACGGAGTGTAGAATTATCCATAGGTAGATACAAGGAGAGCATTGAATGGAGAGTAATTCGTTTAGCTCGGTATGATGTCATCCTTGGAATGCCATGGATGGAACAATATAATCCGAAGGTAGATTGGAGAAGAAAAGTGATTACAAGTAGTGGATGGAAGATCTATGGAGATAGAATTAGATCTCAGAATAGGAATTTACCCCTCTTTGTGATGGGTACAGCATCCATTTCTAGAGATGATGTATGTTTCCTTGGACTTATAAGAGATATTGGGTCCACGGACAAACCTTACATCCCGGAGTCCTTGAACGACATTTTTATGGAGTATAAAGATGTTTTTCCAGATGATCTACCTGCAGGATTACCACCAAAGAGGCGAGTTGATCACAAGATTGAGGTGATACCTGGAAGTACACCAACTTGCAAAGCTCCATATCGTTTGGCTCCAAACGAATTGGAAGAATGCAAGGCTCAAGTGGAGGAGATGTTGAGCAAGGGATTCATTCAACCAAGTGTTTCACCTTATGGAGCTCCAGTACTCTTTGTGAAGAAGAAGGATGGATCCATGAGACTATGTATTGATTATCGCGGGTTGAATCAGCAAACGGTGAAAAACAAATATCCATTACCTCGTATGGATGATTTGTTTGATCAACTTCAAGGAGCGAAGTACTTCACCAAGCTAGATTTGAGAAGCGGCTACAATCAAATTCGAATTGCAGATGAAGATGTTCACAAGACAGCTTTTCGTACTAGGTATGGACACTTTGAGTATCTGGTGATGCCTTTTGGTCTCACTAATGCACCAGCTACATTCATGGGATTGATGAACGATATCTTTCGCCCTTATCTAGATAAATCTGTCATTGTTTTTCTAGATGATATATTGGTGTATAGCAAAACTTTGAATGATCATAGAAGTCATTTA